ATTACCAGTACATACCTAACCCTAAACCTAACCATTACCAGTACATAGTTAACCTTAAACCTAACACATCCTCTATCCTGATGCAGGCTCAATAATCCAGGTAGAAAAAGCACAGGCCACGTAACTAGTTAGCTAGTTAACTAGTTACGCGGCCTGTGCTCTACAATTTTTTTGTCTTGTTTTCTTGTTTTGAATGTCCAGAGGACCAGATTTAACTTTTTTGGACTTTAACACATCCTCATTTCACACCTTAGTCCTAAACCTAACCCCTATCCCAATAACAGCACTTTTTTATGGGACCTGTGCTTTTGGCCCCTTAAGAAGCAGTTGATCCTCACACTGTAGTATAAGTTGGAATATTGGGCCTTACTTTAAGAAAAAAACTTAAAAAAATTACTCATTTTGATACAGGTACAATCTGTAATGCAACTGTTCAGTTTAGGTTGAGTTTAACTTTTGAAAGACAGATAAATTAGTGCTGTGACATCACATCAAGATTTACTTCAGAAAATGACCCAAACTGAAAGATGTTGGTTCTTGACTGAACGTCACGTTCAGTTTTGGTCATGATGATGCAGCTTGTTGGGATTTATTTACATTCATTGTGTGTGTGTGTGTGTGTGTTCAGCTGAGATAACACTAGTGATCTGTGACAAAGAGGAGAGGGCAGCATCTTTGCTGGAGTGCAAAGAGAAAGGCACGGCTCCAGGAATCTCCTGCCTGGTTCTCTTCACCGACTTCAGCCAAGCGTTTGCGGAGCGGGCGAAGAAGTGCGAGGTGGAGGTTTTGAGACGGGACCAGCTCATGGTGAGTGGGAGGAAGCACCACAGTAAATCAGTCCTTCCAATGCGCTCGCCTTTAATCGGACAGTCGGTGATGAGGTACGAACTGACACAAGCCCTTATCTTTATTTGATTTGCATGTTCCCAGGAGCTGGGGAAGCAGAACCTCAGAGATCCTGTGGTGAGTTTACCTTCTCTCGTCTCTCAGCTGCGGCGTCACCGCATCAAACCGCCTCGTGTAAACAGCTGATCTCCCTCTAAGTGCTCGCCTGACAGCCCTGTCTCATAAGATATCATTAACACTAACTTGTAAACAGGACTTGGACACAGAGTGGAGGAAGCTGTAAGTCATATATTTTCTTTCTTTCTTTCTTGCTGTGTGTTGTAGCCACCCCAGCCTCAGGATCTGGCAGTGGTTTGCTTCACCAGTGGAACCACAGGTACGTCTGATCTCAGAAGCCCCCCTCCTCCCATAATTATAGCTCTCTCCCATCATTAGAGAAACGTCCTTCAGTACCCACTAACAACCTGTCTTTATGGTGCCACTGGAGGTTCCCCTTTGCTGTGCAGGCCACTGCAATAATCTCTTGTTTATTTATCCAGGGAAGCCTAAGGGAGCCATGATCACCCACGGCAACATCGCCTCCAATACTTCCTCTGTCATTAAGATCCTGGAGGTCTGTCTAAACTTCCACCTCCTTGTCTAATTGAGAACAGCCTCGCAGCTAGCATCACTTCCCATCTTCTTGTTTTTTGCCCCCCCCCCCCCCCCCCCCGCTGTGTTTAATGGTATGATTAATTGGATGTTTGATCGTTCGTGTCGCTGCGACGTACTTTAACTAATTGCCCCTGTCTAAAGATTGCGCTGTCTAACCGCTGTTAGAAAAGCCATCCAGCATGTTTGATCGCCCATGAGCCTTCGCTCGGCGCTGCAGCCTGAGTGTAATGTCTCCCCTGAGCTTTTGCTCACTTCATGTCTTGTTTCCTCTCAGGGTTCGTTTGTGATCACTAAGGAGGACGTGTCAATCTCGTACCTGCCGCTTGCCCACATGTTTGAGAGGATGATTCAGGTTGTAGCTCCTCTCAACACATTTTTCTTTTTCTTTTGTTTTTTTTTCCTGAGTGAGACTTTTGCCTGCAAATCCTTAAAAAATGAAATCTGTTTTTCTCACAGCTCACTATGTATTACTTTGGAGCCCAAGTCGGATTCTTCCAGGGGGACATTTCTCTTCTTATGGACGACATTAAAACACTCAAACCCACCCTCTTCCCTGTTGTACCTCGTATACTCAATCGAATCTACGACAAGGTCAGCGAAGGATTGACACACATAGATTAGTTGATGTAGCCAACCCTGAGGAGGCAGCTTGTATTCGATTCATTCATTTCTTTAAAGATCCAGGGTTCAGTGACCTCTCCGTTTCAACGGGCTTTGCTCAATTATGCTGTGAGGAGAAAACAGGTGGAGCTCCGCAATGGGATCGTGCGAAACAACAGTCTGTGGGACAAACTGGTGTTCAGGAAAGTTCAGGTGAGTTTCTGAAGGCTCCCGTCGTTTGTATGGACCATATCTTTAATCATCTGCTGACGAAAGTGAAGGTGGATGATACCCGTCTGTTCCCACATCTCATGAACCTCTGGAATAATTTTAATGAAACCTGAATTAAATGTACCTGTACAACTAAAGTGCCGAGTCAATCCACTTCAGGATGGCTGGTACAGGTATGCAACCTAAGCCCATATCAAAATGGCTACAACTTACAGATACTGAGCTAACATTTGATATGGTAGTAGCCAAGAGTCGCCCTCAGTGCATACTCTGAGGACCAACTCATCTTGCAATGACATCAAACCTAAGCATGTACAAGATTTGACCAAACTGGCTACAGCGTCACTCGTTTATTTCTCATCAAAAGGTGATCTTAGTTTATAATTCTGGCTTGAAAAGCAGCCGCTGATCTGCAATTCTTCAAGGAATCCTAGGCCTGTAGTCACTCAGGAGCCTAAATAATCCATCAGGTGCAGAGTTGTGACCCAGATTGCACCATCAGCACATTTTGATCTACAGTAGTTGCATCTTTTTTTTTGTCTTTTCTTTATTTTCTTTTGCATAAAAGCATTGGATTTCTGTCATAAATTACTTTTTTGTGACCTTCTAACTTTGTAGTTTTGACCACCTGTGCTTGTACCTAGAGCACTTGATGTTTGTCTGCACATTTGAAACAAGCAGCCTCACAAATAGCAACAAATCTGAATTTTTTTTCCCAAGAGAGGCACCATTGTTCCAGCTATTGGTGCCAACTTCACGTGCAGCATATTGGCCCTGTGGGAGTGTATCAGATAGATATTCACACATGCTGAAAACAAATGTTTTGTCTCCCTGCGTGCACTCAGATGGAAAACTATGACCGAGGGTACAGTAGTTAAAATGCAAATGAGTTTGGATCCATGTCACGACTGTGTTTAAAGTTCACCTTTTTGCTTGCAGGCCAGTTTAGGAGGTAATGTTCGGTTTGCCCTGACTGCCTCTGCACCCATCTCCTCCTCGGTGCTGTCCTTCCTCAGAGCCACCCTGGGCTGTGTAATCTGCGAGGGCTATGGACAGACGGAAAGTACCGGAGGCTGCACTTTCTCCTTGGTAGGGGACAACAGCGCAGGTAGTGCCTTTATTTTGAAACGCGTGTAGCAGGTTACTTCTTTCTCAGCTCATATGTGGATTATCTCAATTTCAGGTCATGTTGGCGCTCCTGTACCGGGGGTCATGGTCAAGCTGGTAGACATCCCTGACATGAACTACTATGCCAAGAATGGAGAAGGAGAGGTGAGAAAATGGGAAATACACTATAGATATTATATAGATATTTTGTGTCTAGATTACAATGGTTCCCAACCCTGGTCCTTGAGGAACGCCGTTCTGCATATTCTAATTGTTTCTCTGCTTTAACACGTGATTCAGTGATTTACTTAAGTTCTGAAGAAGCCTGTTAATGACCCATTCATTCAAATCAGGTGTGTTGGAGCATAGAACTAAACCATGCAGGATGGTGCTCCTCAAGGACCACTGGTTAGGACCACGGTTGGGGAACCACTGGTTTAGAAAGCATTTTGAAATGTTACAATTTTGTCTGTAGATTTGTGTCCGTGGCCCCAGTGTGTTCAAAGGTTACCTGAAGGACCCAGAGAGGACAGCCGAGGCCTTGGACAGCGATGGCTGGCTGCACACTGGGGACGTTGGCCAGTGGCTTCAGGTAAGACCAAACGATAACGATTTATTCACACCAATTTCCTCCAAGTATGCTGAAGTTCCAATGAACACCGTTTTGTCAGAATGGCACGCTGCGCATCATTGACCGGAAGAAGCACATCTTCAAGTTGGCTCAGGGGGAGTACGTCGCTCCGGAGAAGATCGAAAACGTCTACCTGCGATCTGTTCCTGTGCTCCAGGTGTTCGTTCATGGAGATAGTTTACAGGTGCATTACACGAAAGGAATTCATGGATTCATAAACAAAGCTGCAAATAAATATTTATTGGTGCAAGTTAAATGCTTGACGTTCTCCTGTACGTCATGTCTCCAGTCTTACGTCGTAGGAATAGTTGTGCCTGACAAAGAGGTGTTTGTCAACTGGGCCAAGGAGCGGGGATTTGTTGGCTCCTACGAGGAGCTCTGCCAAAATCCTGTAAATCAAATTTCTATTTGTTTTTTTTAAACATTTTCGCCATCTAAGAACTTGACACGTGGTTTAAAAAACAAATTGTCTTCCAACAGGATGTAAAGAACGCCGTATTAGCAGACATGAGATCATTGGGGAAAGAAGCAGGACTGAAGTCCTTTGAACAGGTGAGCCGTCTCCACTAGTTCATTTTACAATCTGCAGCGAAGCAGCTCGCAGTAACTTCTGCTGGAACCCTTTGCATCTTCGCAGGTGAAAGATCTTTATTTGCATCCAGAGACGTTCAGCATGGCCAACGGCCTTCTCACGCCCACCCTGAAAAGCAGACGGGCCGACATCCGCAGAGTGTTTCAGGAGCAGCTGTCCAGCATGTACAAGACGATTTAATCCACACAGCGCCCGAGGGTCACCGGTCCACGCAGGAACACAAATTAGTGCTGAAGCTCCAACAGTGCCTCGTGTAGAAACCTACAACTGGATGGATTTGATACATTTTAACTCCTGTCCACCTTCAGTCACTTTATTATTATTTTTTTTTTTACACGAATGTTTCATATTAACAGATGTTCCCGATACAAATTCATCTGCCTTAAGACATTTATGGACATAACTTCATAGTAAAAGGATTTTTATGCTACACTACTTTTCTAGTATTTTTAAAGGGGTTTGAACATGAAAGTTTATTAACTATATCTGTCATATTGTACAGTTGTTCGTCTTTATCACCACAGTATAAGCTCTCTACAAACATCTCTTTATAATTTTAGGTAAATCTATGAATGGACCTTTTCAACCTGCAATGATTTGTCAGAAATAGAGAACTTTTAAAATCTTAAGTCTTAATGAGAAACGATAGCTGCCGATGATTAAATCAAGCCTTTATGAAAATACAATTTGTTTTTTCTCCATAGTTCATTTACTTAACGTTTGATTACAGTTTACAACAAATTGTCATTAAAACAAACAAACTAAAACTAAAGAATTCCTTTAGTTCTGTTCAAATTAAAATAATCTAAACTACTGGTAAGTAAAAAAGTACCTTCATTAGTAAAATTAATTACTTGTAACAATCAGCCCGTGTCACAGAACAACTTAACCTTAAGGTCTAAACCAGAATAAATAATCTACCCATTGGGCCAGAAAGAAAACAATTTAACGTCACAAAAGATGAGACGGTGTGTCTTTCATGCTGAAGCTGTGCCCAACAGTGGAAACAAAGGAGTGCAATAGCAGTATGACTTCATCCAAAATAAGAGGCCAAAAACAAAAACTGGCTTCCAGTTCTAGTGTTGAGGGTGAAAAGGGACTCTGTAGCATCCCAGAAATGTGTGAGCTTCTTTGCTAACGCACTTAACCAACAATAGAACAAAGGATTGGATGCTGCGAACAAAAGGAGTGAGCGTCATCATGAGGGATGTCCACTAGAGGGAGTGCCAGCACTTGTTTTCTTGGTGCACAGGTTCGCTCTCCTTCCTGCCCGAGCCTCGTGACCTCAGCGCTGCACAGGTCATGTCCCACTTCACACAGGTTACATTTAAAGCCAGAACAATAGAGGCACATTACACAAAGGTGATGTTACTATGTTTACAATTTTAAACCCAAATTACAATAAAAAACCCTCAGAACTCACATAATTAGAAAAGGACAAAAATAAACAAAAAACTAGTGTTGTGGACAATAACCTGTTATCAATTTAACAAGAAACCTGCACCGTTTGTAATTTCAAGAATAATGACTGAAAACATCTTTGAAAGACCAGCACAGCTGATGAGACTTGTAACAAATCATTACTGTTCAAATTCAACTTGAAAGAACAAGCAGCTCTAAGCACAGTGTAGTGTAACCCTGATATAACCAGCTCTGACTGAATCTGCTTGATTTTTTAATGTAAAAAAAAAAAAAAATTGTCTTTATTTGTCACTTGGCTGATGGCTTTGTTAATGTGGCTTTCAGCTGCTCTGATTTGAGAATGACACACGAGGTTGTAGTGCAACAAGAAAAAGGGGGGTGGGGTTGTGAGGCTGCAACAAAACAAGCCCATAATCAGGTTAAGGCCACTGCTGTCCGTCTGAACTCCAGAGGAGCTTGGAAAGAGAGCAATCCATTCAGAGAGGCATGAAAAGAGCACGTCCCGACGTTCAGCTTTCCTCCCTCAGTCGTTGGCGACAATGGACAGAGAGCGCAGCTCGCTGAGCTTGGCCTCAGTCTCCCTCTGCCTCTGCTCGTCAGTCAAAGCAGCTTGGTCGATCTGCTCCGTTAACTCGCTGAAGATCTTGTACATTTCAGTGAAGTAGACCACCTGGTGGGTACAGGAAAACAGACATTTTGTCACACTACTGAAAAACAACTCCATTTGTCCTCTTGAAGATTTTAAACAGGGTCAATCCACAGTTTCTTAGATATGTCAAGAAGAATCCCACATTTATATCCGAACTGCTGCACTCACTCATCCCGTCCTGCTTTTACACAAGTCTGCAGCTGCTGCTCTCACAGTCTCCTAATGAGAAGTGATTGGAGAAAAGGGTGCCCACAGAAATCTAAATACTGTCAAAGCCCCCCCAAAAGTCCAGCAGTTCAGTAGCTGCGGACCCTGCTTCTCTCTCCCCATCTGAACAAGACATAGAGTGTTTGCTGAAAGCTTTCTTGACACTTCCCACCCCTGCTTCTTCCCCTCGGTGCATGAGTCAGGCTCCCCAGAGAGTTGCTTTGATGATTAATAGACTTTAATCACATTACAAGACTCAGGAAGAGTAGGCAGAGAATGAAAGTACAGGGAAATACAACCACTTGAAACCCACAAGCGTGTCTCAATATTTACACAAACAGCAATACAAGCGATGGCCGTGCTCTGAAGGGGACATCTCTGAAACAGCACATGCTTTTCACTGCAGGCAGAACAAGATGAACCGAGACAGCAGAAGAAGAGTATTCATTCACATAAATTGTCAACAAAGGAAGAATTATTTGTTGACTGAGGACTTTTCCATAGGCATTATAGACACAAGCAGCCAAAAGAAGAATGTCAGAGTCTAAACCACTTTATACAAGCTTTTTTTTAAGAGCTCAGCCTGAAAGACGTTGCCTGTTTACACCGAAATTTGCCACCTAAACCACATGAGTGGGCCATAAGTATTGGGTTACTGCTGTTTGTAGGGGTAAAACGGATACATTTCTTTCCCTCAAAAGCGACTTGTTGAAAGGGCCATCGGAAATGTCCATATGACCAGTGATGATAATGTACACCAGATCAGTGTGCTCTCTAACAAAAAACACCTTACAATTACTCAAGTCACCACTTGGCGTAAATGTACGCTCGCACAACTGGGACTGCCTGTGACAGAAAAGACAGATCCGTGAGTTAAAGCAAAACTTTAATGTGTTGAACACGTCAGCGTTTGATTCATGTTTGTATCCAGGTTGCATTTTGACATCGAGCCAATTTATTGAATAATTTCGCAACACGTCCACACACTATGCAGGAAAATCAACTCAACAAGTAACTGTGTGATTTGTTAAATAAATAAAAGATGCCGATTCCTGAGCATCTGCACAAGTGGACAGATCAGGCTGTGGCTCTGCTCAGGATTACTCAACAAAAGCAGCCGTTGTGCTTTTATCTTCTGCTGCAGGGAAAAAGGGACGCCAAGGATGAAACTGTGCACGAAGCTCAGGATCAGGTCGACTGACCACCCACTTGTTGGTGTGTGCGAGTCGATATGAAAACAGGACAACAGGCAAAAAGGATACTAGTAGGATCTAAAATCCCCCGAAAACTAAAGGTCAGTTTGAATACAAACATTTTGCGATGGGCACAGTAACATACCTCATCTGCTAATCTGAAGTTCAAAGTGCATCACAGGACTCCTTAATGGTCATTAGGTCTGAGATAATCTAGTTTACTAATTAGGAGTGTGCCAGTGACCGTTCCAAAGAGGAAATGGCATGGCCAAGCAAGAGGGGAGGGAGGGGGGGGGGGACATGGTGGCGCTAACTTCAGACACCCAGCTGCTTAAAGACAAACCTTCAGGTTGGAGGACTGCTCACAGCGGAGCCAGACAGATCGCAGCAGTGTGGGTCGTCACCGGGGGTTAATCACATTAGGAGTGCAGGGTGGGGGACCGACTGCCCGAGTTAAACACACCCTTCATCAGACCTGTTAACAGCACACTGCTTGAAGGGCGCGTCTGCAGCAGAGGGAGCCTCTTCAGCTCGACTAACCTGAGCACGGATAAGAGCCTCAAAGCTGGGCTGGAAGTAGTCGATGCGGCTCTGGTAGAATTTGGGCATCTCGTCCAGCAGCTGTTTGTTCTTGGCCTCGAAGTCCTCCTTGACCGGCTTCAGCTCCTCTTTTGCCTGGAGTGTGGAAAAAAAGACGAGAAACAAAAGCATGGGTCACAAATCGCCCGTTCTAAATTTAGACATGAGGTCGCCAGTTAGTGCATGCTGTAATTCATTTGACTAAGAATTTCTGAGTCAGGAAAATAAATTGTGCAGAAGTTAGCTATAGGTAAAATCATTAAATAAACCAACAATATTAGTATTTTCTTATTGTTATGAAAGATATTCGCCTAATTCCCACGGAGATGCTGTGCAAAAAAAAAGGCTGTAATCACGACCACAGTGAGGAGGAGTGGGTAATGTGGGCAGACTTGGCTGTGAGTGGACTCCAGCACCACTGATCTCCGTGTGAATGTATTAGTGGGTAGTCTGCTGTAGGCATGGAGTTATGGAATGCACAATGAATAATTGTGAAAGGGTGAGAATTTTTATTAAGTGGAAGCGGGGAGTTGAAATAACTATACAACAACATATTGTTTATTTGCTCCATGATGCCATGTTCTCTTCCTCATGTTTCTTTTTTTTTTTTCTCCACACGTGAGTTAAAATGACAAACATGTTGTGTAAGAATCATTTCTTTAAGTGCACAAGGATTCAAAGGGCAGGGATGTAGGGCCTCTTCAAGGCTTTGTTCCCCTGACAGTGCTTTTCTCAGAGTGTGTGGGAGGCTCACCATGTGAGGATGTGTTCGAGGCAATAGCATAGGCAACCATGCAGCACCGTGTGTGAATGTGTGCGCTTCTGTACTGGCCTCATGGTGTGTGTGTATGCGCATCTACAATTCTCAATTACGTGCCTGTAGATGTGCGGCAGTGCCTTTTTGAAAAGGCACTACTTGAGAGCCTGCTAGCTTGCGTGGGTGAAGGAGTGCACATGTACTGTATGCATGTGCTCAACTATTTTATTCACATCCAGTCAGCATTTGTGTCTTTTCCCACTTATCAAGCTCTACTCCCAGCATGTGTAACGTGTAAGAGCAGGTGAACCCTGCGCCCCTGGAAGCTACGAGTGTTTTCGCCGACGTCACATGCACACAGATGCAAAGTGACAGTACCTGGTGTAGTTTGACCATCACAGGTCCAGTTTTTTCTTTCTCTTCATATTTCTCCACTTTGGATTGCAAGCGCTTGTAGTCCTGCAGGGCCTGTTCCCGACGTTTCACCGCCATGTTAAGGCTTGGGAAGACACCGCTGTACCTAAAACATCAAACAGGCAATCAGGGCGTTGAACACAACATGCACAGTGACGCATGGACAAGAGAAAATCCCCCGACTCAAAAAGGATGGATTTTTCCACCTTTTGATGAAAAACTCAGACATGAATTGTGCATTGCATCAGTTCCCACCACCTGCCACTATGATTGAATACAATGTCTCTCCTAAACATCTTATTGTAGAGGTACTCTCAAACCCCAGAGGACAGCTCTGCATTAAGCTTCCTCTCATCTATTATCTAATTACTATAGTTCAGAATGGCATGAAACAATTTATTTTGTGACAATTACCCTATTCCAAATGAAAATATATTCTTGCAACAAGAATCCTGGTCTTCTGCACTAAAAATAGGAAAACATTCATCTGTAACTTAGCAACAGGAGTCTGCGCTTCATCCTGGGACTTGTTGCACTGGTTTTGTGTCTGCTCTTACTGGGAAACAGGAATACTGTACACAAATATGTACTTATCAAATCCGATATTTTATTAAAAGTAAAACGCATGCGTAAAGAAATTAAAAAGTTTCATGCATCTGTAAATGTAGCTAATAATAATTCACTGGTAGGCATTGGAGATGCTTGATTTGTAATTAGTTTTGATATGAAACAAACAGCTCAGCAGATATTAGAAAGCTTTAATCACAACGAAGACCAGTTTTATTTAAAAAAAAAAAAAGACAACGATCCTTTTTTGGACATTTTTAAAACTTGGCAGTAAAAAAAAGTTTTAAAAAGCAGATTGCAAGCTTGTTCACGCAGGTGCATACATATGAGACAGAAGTAAAAACAATCGTAATAAACTAGATCAACCTTTTCTGAATGAGTCACTGAAAGTCTTTTATCAGCTGTGTAGGCTCCGCACTACTAGAACCGTTCTTTATGAGTCTACCCATTGTGTTATTAACCACAAAATGTGTGGGCTACATAGTTGACGTTCCTCTCCATGTCAGCCCTAGCACTGCTATGAGCAGCCGATGAGAAACACCACTGCAAGCCTGTAAATGTATTCATTAATTACAACTGTCTCATCATTACACCTTACTAGAGGCTGGTGGGACAAGGGGGAGGGCTGAGGGTTACTTGCACACAAACGGGAATTATTTCCGACAGGAAGTTAAGCAAGGAGTGGTCTCGTAGTGTTTGAGTGACATCACGTAGTTCAGTGGAGCCCAGCCCCGCGGCCCACGCTCCGCAACTATTTATAAAATCCTACTTTGGCCCAGTTTACGGTAGGGGTGGATGCCGATCCTCAAGTTTACTATCTGCTCCAGTGTACACATATTTCAAGTGCCAAGGGATTATGTAACTACCCTAGAGGCATGACTGCTCTCCAACATTGTTGTTTTTTTTGTTTTTTTTTCTGGCTGCTGACAATGCAGCAGGAAACCAGCCTTTCCATGACACAAAGGCTAATAGAATAATCTCCAGCACCGTTTAGTTGGTACCATCTTCTTGTGACAAACCCCAACGGTCAGCCTGACTGGGACAATACTGGTGGCAACAACTACATTAGGGAAGACAGAAAGTTTACATTGTCACTGTTCCAGTTAAAAATAAGCAGAATAAAATGCAACTGCTTATTAAGCTATTCTTTTCTTAACCATTATGAATTCTAAGACCTTGGTGTTACATTTAATGCTCTATGTGTCTTGACGTTAGACTTATCTGTGTCCCGATTCTCTCAAAAACAACAGTGGTCCCTACCTAAAATACCCTGCATTTTCTTTGTAAGAGATTAGTCCAAAACTATTTAAGACTAGGACTTTTACTTCGATATCATGGTCTTAATCGAACAACTCCCCCGTCAGTCAACAAGGTCTGAATTTGTGATTCTTCTTGAGGGATGTCTGGTTAGACGCTGCAAAGAGGCCAAGGGCACACCACGGTCCATGTGTCTGGTCAGGGTGTGGTGAACTTGCTGAACGGAAAGAGCATACGAACCCAAAAATGAGTTTATGAACAGCTGCCAGTCCACAGACAGGCCAGTCTGAACTCTCAGCCAAGCCTAAGTCTGGTCTAGACACCCTCCGTCGAGGAGTCTGGCTGTCCATTACCAGTACTCACATTACTCACTACTGTAAAGAAAACACAGCAAGCCACTGAAAAAAAATACGGAAAAGTTCATTATTTATGTACAAACTGTTACATTCTTTGTCCAATAAGGACTAAGTTAAATCACATGGCAAGCTTAGTTAAAAACATATTTTTACTAAAATGTTACTAACAAAAATAAATGAACTAAGAGCAGCTAACCACGAGAACATGGAAGTAAAGCTCATGCCTCCTTTGTCTCAAGAAAAATAACGACTCTTTCAATTGGCTTTTTCAATAACAGTTCTGGGATATGGCTGCAAAGACAAGCCACTTTTTAATCTGGCTTTGGATGTTCATGAATCTCTATAACTGAGCCACCCGCATCCTTGGATGAGGTGAGCGTTTAGAAATGCAACCAGCCTCACAGAACCATAGGAAGTGCTGCGTATAAGTCAATGACACTGGAGTAGAGCACTATGCATGAAACTAGTGCCTGATACTTTTCATTCGTAGTCAGTCTCACAAATCGTCTGTCTCTTCACTAAGTTACACTCTTGAGCTGCAACGGCAGATGGCCGCTTGTCCTGAGCCTGGCTCTGCTGAAGGTTTCTTCCTCATGAGGGAGTTTTTCCTTTCCACTGTCACCTTCGTGCTCGCTAAAGACGAGAGTTCTGTGATGGAGTTAAATTCAAAGCAGTTTGCTCCTTAGATAAATCATGTTAAATTATTATTTTATATATGAATGTTTCTGTTCAGTGCCCTGAGATGACTTCTGTTGTGACTTGGCGCTATATAGATAAACTGAACTGAGTTGAACTGATTGAATTCAGTGCTGGGCTGTTTTGACTGTTCAGTATTAATCACTACCTCCCTTAGTGGCTCAGAGGCATAACGGTGGCAGGTTGATTCCAACCCCGTGATGCCGCCTCAGTCCTTCCGCAAGTCAGAAAAACAGAAAAAAGGTGTTTTGTGCCTAGTTTGAAAGTGTTTTATTCCTCAAGTTAATGTGACTTTTTGCTTTTTGTAGTCAGAACTCAGAGCAAAACCCAGCTGAAAGACGCTCTATAAATAACTGACAAACTATAAACTCAAAAAGACTCTAAAGTAATAAAAATTCAACAGTAAATTGGGGCTTCCACCATCTCGACAGCTAGGGCTAAACAATCCCCCTTGGCTTTAGGCCTCCTGACCTGCTCCAGAGGCAGAGTCTTCCTCTGATACAAAGGGGTGACGGTGGTTTGTCCAGTTCTCGCTCAACCTAGGGCAGAGGTCTCAAAACAGGCCTGACTTCTGTCTCACCCAAAAGAACAACAGAGCAGAAAGGGCCATGTTAGGAGGGCCAGAAAATACAAATGTCTCGATGCCCACGCACTCCCCTCCCCTCACAAAAACACAGTGATGTCATTCAGTGACCCTACTGAATGGATGAGACTCAACTGGACCTGAGCGAAACAAAAAGGCACCAAGGACAAAAGAGGAGTGTTTTGATGTTTGTTTTCTGTGCACTTCACCAGACGCATGTAAAAAGGATAGATGCCAAAAGTTTAAGCAGCAGTTCCACATGAACAAACAGCATAACCTAACAAACACAGCAATTACAAACACACACTATTAAGTGACAGTCTTCCATTAATATAACAATCTTTCTTTCAATTCTTCACTAATTGTATTTACAATGCCACGAGATCACAAGCCAGCGTATCCAGAGATGAGCAAAAAAAACATTAATGAAGGACTAATGGAATCTTAATGGAAGCTTTACAGCACACCAGCTCCTGTATCTTTGCTTTTTATTAAACACCACCTTTGTAAATGAATAACCAGTAATGCTGTGTTTGTAAGTAGGTTAAAAGTAAAACTAAGAGGCCACTTTATTTTGGCATTCGTTGTAAAACCTGTTTTCTCTTCACTTATTTATAAACATATTAAAGCAAAAGTTGCTTTATGGTCTAAAATACCAACACCTCTGCTCTGCTCTCAACGTCCAGGCTGGTGTTTGTATATAGGTGAGTGAGAGAGAGTGTGTGTGTGTGTGTACCGTCCTGAGACAGTTCTCTTTCTCAACCAATCCACAGTTCTGGGCCCAGGAAGCTGGGCTCTTTGCCATATTCTGAGCCTGCCTACACGTCCGCCTGCCGCCCACCAGGAAGAGGAAATTAGAACCATTCCATCCTGTCGCTGCTCCCCACCAGCGCACATGAGGGAGACGGGGCTTTACACACAGACACTGACCTAACCCGGGCCAACAGTGGATTCACTTCACATCAGCTGTTCTTAAAAATGACAGCATTTTGAAAAAGAAAGTTCAAGAGAAACCCGCTTTAGAAACTGTCTTAAACAGAGCGCATGTTTAATGTGATGGGAGGAGCCAAGAGGAGGAAGCAAAACCTTAACTAGTGCTCCGGAAGACGGGTGGGATGGTCCAGCCACTCCCTTCAGTAACTGCATATTTTGTGTGCGTGCGTGTGTGTGTGTGTGTGTGTGTGTGTGTGAACAGATGTAAAAGTGAGTAGAGTTAAGTTTAGGGAATGGAATAGCATTCACAGCTTCTCAAATGGGGGAGAATATTAAGAATGAAAGTTAAATAAACTTTCAGACTCACAACTGAACTGCTCACTCCTAAAAGTGATCAATCCACGTTATGAGCCTGAAGGGCTCATTATGATTTTGACTTGGACCATATACAGGTCCTTCTCAAAAAATTAGCATATTGTGATAAAGGTCATTCTTTTCCATAATGTAATGATAAAAATGAAACTTTCATATATTTCAGATTCATTGCACACCAACTGAAATATTTCAGGTCTTTAATTGTTTTAATACTGATGATATGGCATACAGCTCATGAAAACCCAAAACATCTGTCCCAAAAAATTAGTATATTTCACCCCACCAATGAAAGACAAGTGTTTTTAATACAAAAAACGCCAACCTTCAAATAATCATGTTCAGTTATGCACTCAATACTTGGTCGGGAATCCTTTTGCATGAATGACTGCTTCAATGCGGCGTGGCATGGAGGCAATCAGCCTGTGGCACTGCTGAGGGGTTATGGAGGCCCAGGATGCTTCGATAGCAGCCTTAAGCTCATCCAGAGTGTTGGGTCTTGCGTCTCTCAACTTTCTCTTCACAATATCCCACAGGTTCTCTATGGGGTTCAGGTCAGGAGAGTTGGCAGGCCAATTGAGCACAGTAATACCGTGGTCAGTAAACCATTTACCACTGGTTTTGGCACTGTGAGCAGGTGCCAGGTCGTGCTGAAAAATGAAATCTTCATCTCCATAAAGTTTTTCAGCAGATGGAAGCATGAAGTGCTCCAAAATCTTCTGATAGCTAGCTGCATTGACCCTGCCCTTGATAAAACACAGTGGACCAACACCAGCAGCTGACATGGCACCCCAGTGACTGTGGAAACTTGGCACTGGACCTCAAGCAATGTGAATTCTGTGTCTCCTCTCTTCCTCCAGACTCTGAGACCTTGATTTCCAAAGGAAAAGCAAAATTTACTGTAATCAGAGAACATAACTTTGGACCACTCAGCAGCAGTCCCAGACGAGATGCTTCTGACGCAGTCTCTTGTTCAAAAGTGGCTTGACCTGGGGAATGCGGCACCTGTAGCCCATTTCCTGCACACGCCTGTGCACGGAGGCTCTGGATGTTTCTACTCCAGACTCAGTCCACTGCTTCCGCAGGTCCCCCAAGGTCTGGAATCGGCCCTTCTCCACAATCCTCCTCAGGGTCCGGTCACCTCTTCTCGTTGTGCAGCGTTTTCTGCCACACTTTTCCCTTCCCACAGACTTCCCACTGAGGTGCCTTGATACAGCACTCTGGGAACAGCCTATTCGTTCAGCAATTTCTTTGTGTCTTACCCTCTTGCTTGAGGGTGTCAATGATGGCCTTCTGGACAGCAGTCAGGTCGGCAGTCTTACCCATGATTGCGGTTTTGAGTAATAAACAAGGCTGTGAGTTTTTAAAAGCCTCAGGAATCTTTTGCAGGTGTTTAGAGTTACGTCGTTGATTCAGATGGTTAATAGCTTGTTTAGAGAACCTTTTCATGATATGCTAATTTTTTGGGACAGGCATTTTGGGTTTTCATGAGCTGTATGCCATAATCATCAGTATTAAAACAATTAAAGACCTGAAATATTTCAGTTGGTGTGCAATGAATCTGAAATATATGAAAGTTTCATTTTTATCATTACATTACGGAAAATAATGACCTTTATCACAATATGCTAATGTTTTGAGAAGGACCTGTACGTTCTATCCTTCTAAGAGCAAAGGTTATTTAAAAAAATGTTACGGGGAACTGGACTTATCAGAACCTGAAAGATGAACTGACTTTTCAATTATGTGACATTAAAAAAATCACATCATGTTGCTGCTGATCTGTTTCAATGTTGAAGTGTTCATGCGTGCTCATCCGCTCACACAGACTCATGCTCATGTTCGTGCTGCTGTTCGACGTAATGTTTTTATGCTATTAGTGCTTAGTGTATTTTTAGTTGATGTTTTTCTTAGTTCATATCTTAGATGTTACCATTGTTTTTCTTTTACATTTTATTGTTGGATGTAACTGGGACCTTGTGTACATAATTTCGCTCCACCACATGTACCACATGAGGTGCGAATGACAATAAAGAAACTCTGACTTAAGGTACAAAACTTAACTAAGTTTCACATAAATCTTTATTTATAAATGTTCCCACAGCTTATTGTCCTGCCACCCAAAGCAGCACATTCATTACAACTTTGTTATACTGAGCTGCTACTAAAATATTTTAATATATTTTGTAATATCTTATCATCACTTTCACAAGAAAAGGTGAAAAATAAAACTCACTTTTTCAGAGGATCAATAACAGTCTTCTGAACCTGGTTTACCTGTAATGAAAAAGAGAACCAATACATTAAGTAATATTTATTAAGAAAGTGTAAGAAATTATGTTTCTCAATGTCAGATTGTATTACGCAATAACCAATTTCAGAAATAAACATAGTTTGTGTCTCTTCAATTCAGTTTATTTCTATAGCGCCAAGTCACAACAGAGGTCATCTCGGGGCACTGAACAGAAACATTCATATATATAAAAATAATAATTTAACATCAATTATCAGAGGAGCAGACTGCTTTGAATTTAACCATCAAAGAACTCTCATCTTGAGCAAACACAAAGGCGACAGTGGAAAGGAAAAACTTCCTCATCAGGAAGAAACCTTTAGCAGAACCAGACTCGGGACAAGCGGCCATCTGCTTCTACCGGCTGGGTTTGAGAGGAACAGGAAGGAGGAACAGATACACAATCACAATATAAAGTAAATTTTGCAACACAAACACCCATCCCTCTATTCATCTTCTTTTACCCACTTTTCCATGTTGGGCACCAGCGTTCTGCGACCCATCTCCAGCAATCATTAGGAAAAAGGTGGAGTACACCTGGACAGGTTGCCAGTGCCACACAGAGATAATCCAGACAGGCATCTATTCACATGCTCACCCACACCTTGTGATAATTAAGTCTACAATTACTGGACCATGCACGTTCTTCTGTCAGTGAGGTATGAAATACCATGGAAAAACATGCATGTAACCAAGTTTTAAACCTGTGACCTTCTTGTGAGGTGTCGACACTAACCACTGTTTCACAGTGCCACCTCTCAAATAAATGTACAAAAAAATGTAAAGGGGGGGGGGAGGGGGGTTGCAAAGAAAGTTTTGTGACATTGACTCTTTTATTGTACTCAAGCCCTGAGGAGAAATCTCTGAATATTCATGGAGCTTGCGATACAAAAGGATGAAACTGTCAGGGGACGGACATGAAAGCAAAACCCAACTGATTTCAAATCCTGTGCAGGGTGGGCTGCTTTACAAGATGAAAGTTCTTAACAAACAAACATTTAACAACAACAGTTTATATTCTCAAGCTTTCTCCTTCTGGTTATCAGAAGCGACAGGGGAAGGAGGGAAGGGGGGTGGGGGTTAAATGGAAGTAAACGAACGCGGCTTCTTGAGGCCTCCAGTCTCAAAACCAAGGCTCATCAACAGAAGTTAGTGCACAATTAATAAAGTTTTAGCATCATTTGAATTGCAGATTTAAAACAGCTGTTGGTACGAGAAAAGCAAGCGCTGCAGAGCTGCATAAACAAGACGATCAGCTCCAGAAACAAGCATGCTCGAAACGGTAAAGGAGAATTTGCAGTGTGAGATGTGAAGTGACAGTTGCACGAGAACAATGAGCAGCTCCAGCAATCATATGTTCAATTTCTATTGGAAGGACAGTCAATCACACAGCAGCAAGGAAGCAAGATCACAGCTGTGCTTTACAAAAGTGCCCTGACCACCTATGAGAACATGCAGCAACACTCGCTGCTTCACACAGGCAGATATCCAAGCACAAAATGGTTGATAGTGGTTTGAGGGAAAACAAGAGAGCCAATAACAAATATGGGAATTCACATTTTCTTTGTTTTACATATTCACATCCTTTCCCCCTCCCCGACTGGAGCTGCGCTGCTGCTTTTAAGGTGAGAGCATGTAGTGAGGAGGGAGAACAACAGCGGCAGATTTGCTTAAGCATGCTGGTGCCCTCTACCCTCTGCCCCTTCCCACAGTGAGGGGGGGGGGGGAGCACAGATATTCCTTGGAGACCCCACAGAGCCCGAGGCCGATGCTCAAGCAGCAGTCTCCATCAGTGAGTCACGGGGCAGAGGCCATCCCGGCACACAGGCCTCCCAAAAATACACACAGATCGCTGAGGAAATCAATATCCCTCCAAACGGAGCATCTTCCACTGCGCTGCCGCCATCTACACTGGGGCTCGGCTTCGGTAGCAGTGCGCCGGCGGGGCTGTGCGCCCTCCTCAGCCCCAGAAATAAACACACAGACCTGGGCCACTGCTGCCTTCATTATCGCTGCACGTTTTATCTGCTGGCTCTCTTACTGGTGGGCCCTGCGGCAGAACATCTCGTCTCAGCAAGAAGAAGAGCAAAGGGTGGATGCTTTTGTGTCTGTTTTGCTGGAGCAACAAGGTTTGCTGTTGATGCCGTCAGAAACAACAGCCAGCTGGAAGGGAGAAGTTAGCGGAGTATTCCAGCAAGCTGTGCTGGATTATAAACACCTTGCAAAACCTAGAGGTGATACACACTGAAGACTGACCAGAAAGTTCTCACAATCGCTATTTTCTTTTTGGCTCATTTTTAGCCACTCTACGAAGAGCGTAAGGCAAGAGTATTTATCGAGTACGACTCGGATAAGAGCAGTAAATTCAGTTGTGGCCAAGCTGTCAAAATGCCATATTGATGCTGGGAATGCTTTCAGAATAGTGTTCAAAGAGGTGGGATAAGAGTCTCAAATATCACTTATCCATTAAAGCATGTGTGGTTGTGTATTTTAGTACAGAAAAGGTAGAGAAAATAGAAAAATGTTAATTTCACAATGCATAAATTCTTGGTTAAAATCCGTACACAAGTGCTTGGTAGTGAAAACAGGGTGCTCTTATGATCAGTCAACCAAGCCCAGTCCTCAAAGAAACACATCCCAGGTCACAAACCACACACACAGTCCAACCTACAGTTTTCTTTGTCTCGTCACTTAGAATGGCTCCTGTAACATTTGAGGAGCTGACAGCAAAGTCTGTCTGAAAGACTGACCCTAACCCTAACCCTAACCCTAAAGCTTTGCAGAGAGTGGTGAAGGCTGCACAGAAATCTGTTGGAATCAGCCTCCCCACCATCACAGACATCTACACCTCCAGATGCAGGAAGAGGGCCACCTGCATCATGAAAGACCCCACCCACCCAGCACACACACTTTTTGCCCCACTCCCCTCAGGAAGGAGGTTAAGGAGCATTAAGTGTAGAACCACTAGACTGAGGAACAGCTTCTACCCTGAGGCTGTTAGACTCATGAATCTCTAACTAGAATAATCACTGTGAAAAACCATATCATGTTGCTGCTGATCTGTTTCATGTTGCTGCTGATCTGTTTCAATGTTGATGTGTTCATGCGTGCACATCTGCTCACAGACTCATGTTCATGTTTGTGCTGATGTTCAATGTTTTATGTTATGAGTGCTTAGTGTATATTTAGTTGATGTTTTTCTTAGTTCATATCTTAGATGTTATTACTGTTTTTCTTATACATTTTATTGTTGGATGTAACTGGGACCCTGTGTACATAATTTCGCTCCACCACATGTACCACATGAGGTGCGAATGACAATAAAGAAACTCTGACTCTGACTCTGACTCTGATATGGTAAACCAGACCAAGTGAAGAACAGTAGCTGCTGCTTCTTCATCATCATCATCATCCATGATTTCAGCTTTATATTCAACAAAACCAATTGTTTCAGTGAGCCAGTGTCACTTTCTGTAAAATTAAGAACAAAAAAAAAAAACAACAACAATATTTCTACGAGTCACAATAGTCAATGCACTGTGATAAAATTCAAAAACATTTTTTAACGATCTTAGAAGCCTCTAGTTTAGACTTTGATTTCTTTACATACTTATGGGTTGATTTTTTTTCAAGTAAATTAAAATACAAAAAATTAAATCACCAAACATATATGGTGTCTTCAAAAACAAATGTGTACACTTCCAGAGAACATTTGAGTTAGGTATTTTTGCAACATTAGACTAGAGTTTCACCAAGGAATAATCCATTTGTATCTATTTTAGAAGCGATTCGGTTTCTCGCTCTCCTTGAATTATTGCTGCATGAAATCATTCTGGCTGACAACAAAATATGAAAAGAAAGGGTGAATATTTTTAAAGATAACACCTACTGGCAGAGAAATGAGTCAAGAAAACAAAGATGGAAAAAGGCCAATTGGTATATACCTTAGCCTGATCTCCTGTGTTTGCTTCTGTATTTTTTCTCTTTTAATGTCTACCCTTCACTGTGTGGTGCCTTCAGGATACACACATGTGTTGACATTATGATTCACATTTTAACTACCTGTGGCAGTCTAATCAAAATCCAAGCAAATAAACTCAACAATTCTTCACAAAGCACAAACGTGGAAGTGCAGGCGAGAGTATGCTGCATAGTTTACATTTCTGGAAGGAAAAAAGTCTGTCTATGTATGATTAGCCTTTGGAAAGTTTAGGTTGCTAGTGTTCATCTGTTCTTGGGAGTTTTATGAATTCATGCTGGTAACAGCTGCTCTTCTCCTTAACTTTCTCCTTTATTTTTTTAAAGACTAGATCGTATGAATCATCAGTACAAAAAGGAGGATTGAACAGAAGCCAGATAATTGTTCCAGTAAGCTTTGCAAACAACATGGTACCTGTTCAATCCAAAAACTGTGAGTAATTCCTCTGAATTTTGCAGCAGGGCAAAAGATGTTGTTTTTTTTTGCAGAGAAGACCCCTCTATTGTGCTTGAGTTATTTTAAACACCAGTGAGTCACAAATGCATCCGTTTCACAGCTGATAACCAGTACAGCAAGCTTACAGATGCTTTTTAACAATGGCAGAAGGAAATGCATATGGGTCATTTAAAGGCAACACAATATTCAGGAATTTGAAAACGTCCAATTTAGACACTTCAGGTTCTTCTTTTGTATTTCTGAAGAAAGACATTACACTTGATACCATTCAATACAATAAGCACCAAAAAAGCTGAGAGTGAGAAAAAAAAAAACAGTGAAAAATGCTAATCGAAGTTAAGAGTCTGACCTTCTCCTGGTTGAAGGCGTCCATTCTTTTCATGGCTGTGTCCAAAGCAGTCATGGACTCCAGGAAGGCCTGATCCTGCTCACATAGTGGGTTATTCAGCAGATCTGCCGAGATCTTCACTGCTGCTTTAGACATAGCTGACAGCCACACACACACACACACACACAAAAAAAAAAAAAACAGAAAACTGTTAAAAGATAGAAAAATAACTTTGTAAAAAGACCATGGTTTTAAACGTTTCATCAGTGTATGTGTTCTTTATGTGGGAGGATATCTAAAAGAAAGCTTCTGTGAAAGCTGCAACAAGATGGCTCAATACTGGCCCCATTGTGAAAATCAGAGAGGTTGGCAGGGCTGCCCGTCTTATTGAATATTCACCAGTACACCAAGAAATCGTTGCCAGAGCAGAAATCGCTGTTAATCGGCACACATGCCACTTTAAGACACAGAGCACATATCAGATTATGGCTTTACTGTCAAAACAAATGAGTTTTGCTTAAGAGACACAACTGACAAGAAAAGCTGCACTGAAATGGGCTTTATGAAAATATGGAAGACATTTGATACATTTTCTGTGTCAGAGATTATCTTCCCATAAAGAAAAAAAACCTTCACAGACCAATGAAAGTACTGTTTGAACTCCTACTATAAAACTGCTTGGATGTTTCGACAGACCTGGTTTTAAAGGGTCACAAACTCTAAAGATGACTTCAGGATCTTGTGAGCATGAAACAACATTCATGTCCTTTTGAATAATCTAGGGATGCAGCAATAAGAAATAATGAACATATAAAGTGATATCTGAAGGCAGTTTCTTCTGAAGGCTTACTCACTGCTAACCAGCTGGCACTGGTCCGTTATTTTCCTTTCCTCCAGGGTGGCTGGGTCTCCACCCTGGCGGTCAGCAACATCACTCACCTGCTTCTTTTGTGAGTCACTCATCCCACAGACAGACACCAACTCAACTGCTTTTGACTGCAGCTGGAAATGATTGGACAAACTTGCAAAGATTGCAGAGCAGATCAAAAACCTACCCGCTGCGAACCGAGAGTGTGGGAGTGGGAGTCTGTCCGTGGAAGACTCACTGTAGAAGCAGCTGACAGACAAACACCCTCACAACAGTGACCAGGCCAGTCTACTGGTAGGGATACATACAAAAGGACAGTTGTGTTCCCTATATGAAACACTTTATACATAGCAGTAACTTTCCAGGTGGTTTGTGATTTAATTTATACTGAAATCATGATCAATTAAAAAAATATATGAGTCTGCTTGAATAACCCTTTAAATATGACTTGACCTTTGACTTCATAAAGGCTAACCAATATAATAGCAGCGTATTAAAAGGAGTGCTGACACTCAGCATAGGTCCAGCTCTTTGCTGGGAAAGGGTTGGTGGAGATGGGACCTGAGCAACAGATGGAATCCATTAACAATAATGAGGCCCTGACAGCGATGACACTTTGATGATGCAGACATCCATATTCCCAAACACATAGAAGAGGAAATGAAGGAGTCTCTTGCTGCTCTAGCCATCTCTGCTCCTCCACCCCCACAACTGACTACTTACCACAGGCCATTTCTACTGCTTCTTCCCAAACGCACCATCTCAAAATCAAAGCAAACAAGCGTGAGCATGGATTCTGGTTCTGGTGAGTGCAGAAACAAATACCAGCTAAAATTAAAAAAATTTAATTAACCTTTAACCGATTGTTTTGTCCACACAAAGGAACACAAAATACAACCATTGCATACAACAATCTAGAAAACCCTGTGAACAGATATTAAGACACATATAGATTAATTTTTACTTTGTCTGGAGAATCCACACATCAAAAATAAATCAAAACCACACATCTTAGTACCCAAGACCAACCAGCTAAGCAACATCCAGCACAAGTGGGAAAAAAAAAACCGACAACAAACAAACAAACAGTAATAAGACACGTCTTTGAGAAAACACACCTAAATCAGCCTCTGTGCTTTTCTTCATGTCTTTGTGAAGCTTCTTGGTCTGATCTTCCAACCTGTCGGACAAGAATAAGAACGATCAACTCCTTTGTATAGCACATGCATGGAATGGGTAATACAAACAATGAAACAGAAAATTTGGATTAAAATAATTTTATTTATTCTAAAAATGTTGACAGAGACATGATATGACAAAAAAAAAAAAAAAGATAACTTTATTGTTTTACACTAATTTTAAGGAAACAATTACACATTTCATTGATTTCACATAAAATCTGTTACCTAATTATCAACATTGGGAATCCATCTTGCCACTGTAAACTACATTTCTGCTGTGAAACATTAACGTCTTCAAATATTTCACTCCACATACTCAATTGATGGAAGTTTAAAAAAAAGGCAATTAAGACTTGGGAGTCTAAAAACGCATGCCGTTCATTATAACAATTATGGCCAGAAAGGGGTTTAGGATCCCCCAAGGGACAGCTATCATATCACATCCCCTGGTTTAATATAAAACACATGATGTAGGGTCTCACTGTCTTGATTTCAAAGACTCAAAGATTCTTTTAAACACGTTCAGCTGCTGTGATACCATTACACATAAACTGATATCTATAAAAACTTTAAAATGCTGCACTTAATTGAAGATGTTTTATAGGCCCACAGTAAATAAGCTACATTTCATACGAAAAATAAATTCCCCCAAAGCATAGCATCCCTCAGAAAATCTAGATGTAATAGAGTTGGATTCATCAATTTATTTAAGAAATGAAAATGTCTTATTTATGCTTGTAGTTTATGCTTTAATTTTTTTCATCCATTCGTCATCTTCTGCTTGTTCTGAAGTCGGGTCGCGGGGGCAGCAGCTTGAGCAGGAGGCCCAGACATCTCTTTCCACAGCCACCTCTTCCAGCTCTTCTGGGAGGACTCCAAGGCGTTCCCAGGCCAACAGAGACACAGTCTCTCCAGCGTGTCCTGTCCGAATATCTCTCCCGGGGATAAACGGACTTTTTTTTTTTAAGGGAAAAAAACAAAACTGTATCCAATGGTGTGTTTTAATTTTGCTTATATATATATATATGTATGTGTGTGTGTGTGTGTGTGTGTGTGTGTGTGTGTGTGTGTACATTCAGTTTCTTTGTTGCATGCTCATCTGCTCACACAGACTCATGCTCATGTTCGTGCTGCTGTTCGACGTAATGTTTTTATGCCATTAGTGCTTAGTGTATTTTTAGTTGATGTTTTTCTTAGTTCATATCTTAGACATTATCATTGTTTTTATTTCATTTTATTGTTGGGTGTAACTGGGACCCTGTGTACATAATTTTGCTCCACCACATGTGGTGCGAACGACAATAAAGAATCTGACTGACTTTGTTCTCTTCACATTTAAACAATAACAAAAGTGGACTAAGACAATATTTCCAAGCAGCCATTTTATAAATATGTTTTATGTACAACTTCTGACATTGCTATAATGTCCGAGTTGGGACTGAGGAAAGGCAGCTAACTTGGGACTAGAAAGCCGCAGTTCGACTCTCAGCCATTCCCACATGTCATGGTGTCTCTGAGCAAGACACCTAATCCCCTATTTGCTCTCCGGGCGCTCACTGTGCAATAGCTGCCCACTGCTCCACCTGGGTGTATCCCAGGTGCGATGGTTAAATGCAGAGAACTAATTTTGTCTTTGTATGGGAACATACAATGCCAAGATACAGTATAACACTTATATACATAAAAGTTATTGATGCTACTTTAAATATTTGTTTCTGAATACAACAAGTATTTGAAACTATGACAACTTGAATGTATCAAATACAAGAAGGGATTTCAGTGCACAAAACAGAGAAAACATTTACTGTAGTTTACTAAACTAAGCTGTACTACCAGTAACTTACTGGATATTCAAACAATACTCACAAACTCAATGGTACCTGCACTGTCCGTCTTTGACAGGTCAACCACTTCAAACAGCAGAAACAGTACAATGAAAAAAATTGTTTTGAAAATATGACGTGAAGTCTTGAAAAACATTAACGGGATTTTACTTTTACTTTATTTTACTTTAACAGCATAACAACAAAACCTTCTCAGTCCCAGAGATCATGCTGATGGTGGGTGAAACCTTCTCACCAAGTAAAAAATAAATAAAAATCTACAATTCTTTGAGACCAAAGTCTGTACATTCCCAACGTACTCTTGTCCTGCTTGTTTGTGCATGTGAAACTCATACTGCAGACACTACCTCCTACATTAAAACGTGTCGCACAATACTGCTGCATCTCCTTCACTCTTTCAGCACTCTAACAAGTGAGCTGGTCTGGTTTTGATGTGGGAGCCTTGACTTTCTTTTCAAAAAGTTCAAATAAGGTGACCCACTGAACCAGCTGCTGCTCTTTGCACCAATAATCCAACGTCAGGCTTGTGCAGCCACAATCATCACACAACAAGAAAAAGTGAAAACTGGAATGACGTAATCCTTAAGGTGTGCCAGTTGATGAAAAACGTGTTTCTTCACGTTTGGCAATTCACACAATATCCTTTTTAGGTAACTGCCATTCACACAATGGCTTAATAAAACACTGTAGTTCTTTGCAAATGTCAGCTATAATCAGAAATTATTACCAGATCTTATCTAGAGCTGTTTAATAAAGCTACCTGTTTGGTTTAAGTAAAAAAAGCTAAAAAAAACAAAAAAAAAACATATTTAAACTAGAAATGTTGCTTATTAATTCTGTACGAGTTATTTTTTGTGTGTTTTGTGTGTGCTATTTTTGGCAGCACCTAAGATATAGTACTTTCCAAACAAGAGGTCGATTCAAAACTCAAATATCCCTACAGCAAGCAGTTCCAAATTCTACATGATCACTATATTTACACAAAGGTGTAAAGGTTACATAAAGGTAAATAAATCAGGGTATATGCTTCACACCTCTGTAATTTTGTTAAGTAGAGAAAATAAGCTAAAGCTTTGTGTGTACCCTGGTGGACAAACTACTCACACTAGGACTAAAGCCCCCAGTATACTCCCACGTACGTACGTCCGCACTAAGGTACGCGTGTACATATGCGGAGGGTTAAGATTTCATACTCGAGCGTACACCCTGAACGGCTGCAGAGCAGCTCCACAGACACGAGGTGTTTATCTTCGGGACCAATTGAGTTCACTGATTGTTCATTTGCTGACACGTCTACTAGATTGATCGACAGGTCGAGAAAAAAAAAAAACTAGAGCTGGCAGCTCCAGCCGCAGCGGCGTTCTGTGTTTATTTGTTGTTCATAAAAAGCTCTAAAAAATAAAATAAAAAAACAGGGAGCGCTGGTCCTGCAGCCCACACATCAGCTCAGCACAACAGGAAATCTCCAGACCCTCCTGCAGCCACGCTGGGACTGATTTTAATTCGCTCGTGACAAATTCCTTCATTTCTCACCATTTCAGTCATGGCATCAATGCAGGAGGAAGAAATCACTTGCCTCTTGGCAAAAAAAAAAAAACTAAAACAAAAGAAAAGGCCAGATCAGAGATGAAGAAGGGGAAGTTAATACATTGGTGTTGCATACAAAACAGTCCATCGCCGGGCAGTTTATTGTGCAACATCGCGTACGCGGTCGTAAAAATTGAGCTTTGCGCAGACATGCCCTGCGAGGTACATGCGTACCTCCGCATACGGACGTGCGCGGGAGTATATTCGGGGCTTAAGCCCCTCCATTTGCAACTGGGTCCTATATTTCTTAACCAACAGACTGCCGTCTGTGAGGATCCACAACGTCTCCTCCTCCACCATAACCCTCAGCACTGGCTCCCCTCAGGGCTGTGTGTTGAGCCCCCTCCTGTTCACTCTGTTCACATATGACTGCGCACCTACCCATCCAGGCTGTCATATTGTAAAGTTTGCAGATGATACGGCAGTGGTGGGATGCATCACAAACAATGAGTCCAGCTACAGGCAGGAGGTGGAACACCTGGAGAGCTGGTGCAGGAAGAACAACCTTTACATCAATGTGAAGAAGACGAAGGAGGTAGTCGTGTATTTCAGATGGAACAAACACACCCCCACCCCAACCCCGAATAGGATCTGCAGTGGAAGTGGTCTCCAGCTACAAGTATTTGGGTGTGCACCTGAATGACAACCTCAGCTGGGGTAACAAGACTACCAGCCTAATCAAGAAAGCTTATCAGAGACTCTACTTCATCAGGCGGCTGAGGTGAGCTGGTCTGGGAAGCTCAGTCCTCACCTCCTTCTCCACTCTGAATATAGACACAGTACCGGTAAGTTGAAAATAATGTATTAATAAGATAATACAGATGGGTATTATATCATTAATATAAAACAAGTAGTGGTTGAGTGTTCTGCGTTCAGGCCATAGAAGCAAAGCAGCATGTAGATATGGATCTTGAAGGTAGAGAATCTAAATGTCTGCACATGCCTGCTGCTCTGACTCATCCAAAAGGTCTACTGGTACCACTCCTTGATAAAGAGGCCTTCTACTCAACAAAACCAGCGTAGAAAATTGTGCTCCCACTCACTTTGCTAGGCCCTTAGGGAGTTTCTATAACCTGAAGTTTTGGAAATTTATGCGTTCTCAGCTTTGATCTCCTGAAGTTTCATGAAAGCATTGAAGTAAAAACTTCATCCAGTCAATAAATGTATTTATTTTATAAATTGGGAAAAAAACAAAATATCTTTCATTTTTTCCCCCTTAAAAATGCTAATTTTGCGCTGGAAATGGCTGAAAGACTAAAGAAAGATTTTGCAGAAGATTTTCAACATAATGGACCACACCGAACACCCAATGTCTTCTGGAATAACATTTTACAGTCATTTATTGAACCAGGAGTAGAGATTCCTCTAGGATGAAGTGCATAATCTATTTGCCTCTTATTATTTAATTTTCATTTTATTAATTAAAAAAAACTTGAGATTACAAAAAATATTTCCATTTCAATGACCTTTCTAACTAAAGCACAGCCAAACCATGTCACTAGCCACAGTAAGCAAGACAAATTACGTCGTTAAACTTGACAAAAACTCAAATCAAACTAAACGCATAATAAAAGGCTCTTTGTAAACACATAAACCCAAGTACCAACTTTTTAGCTCACATTGTATAAGACAATTGTTTACAAGTTGATTTGTGATCAAATGTTCTTAAAATCTCTCGAGCTTCACTGATCCATTAAACATATATTCTACTTCACTCTCACCTTACAGGGAAACAGACATTTACATTAAATTTATTTATATTATATTTTAAAACGAATGTTCAAAAAAACCTCAGGAGTCTAAACATAAAAGTTGGTGACTTTTCTGAAAATCACTTCATTAACATGTATTTAACCAGGCAAATCCCACTGAGATCACAGATTATTTTGCAATGGAGACCTGGATCTGAATGCAGCCTAAACATGCACATTTTTGGACTTTGATGAAAATAATCAGACAATATTTTTTTTATCATGGAAAAAGATAAGTTTTGAGAGATAACCTGAACAATACCATTGCAAATATCCTACAAGTGTGTGTAAAAAAATAGATTTTTACCAACCCTGTGGTAACACTGTTTTACAAATACATTTTTAACATAATGCTCAGGACACCATAAATATTTATGTTTGCATCGTGAAATATAAAATACAATCACATTGTCAAAATAGTTTCAAGGTCTATAATCTGCGGTTCTGGAGTCATAATGGTTCTTTGAGCCCTCTACAATGGCTAACAGTAACTTTGACTAACAACAGTACTGCATATGGCAAATTATACGCATGTCGACAAACTATTATACAGCTGAGGTGATGAAAATTGTGTGTGACACTCCATCTAGTGATGATGTATGTGTGTACTATCAAGTTTCATTAAATTATCTTGAGAGGATCAGAAGTTCTAGCCTAGACAAGAGAAAGTTTACTAACATACATACAGAGACTACCATAATATGCTCGTTGAAAAATGCACGTATAATAATTTAAATAACATAGAGGTCAATCATATTGATATTCATAACCACAACAGAAAGGATGCCCTGATGCATGTGCAACAATCCAGACTGGAAAAAACAGAAAGGACTATTTTTTTTAGCAATTATGTCCAAATGTATGTAAATGTGAGAAAAAAGTTCAGTAACAGAATGATGCTTGTAATGCAAAGGGGTCAAACAGATCAGTCTGTTTGCACGAGCAGCTCGTTAGCCTGTTTGTCACTTCATTATTCAGCTTCCAGCCCCACAGTGTTATCTTTTTGAAATGTATCAGGATATTAAACAGTTTTAAACATGTTTTGAAGAGGGTGGCTGAGAAGAAATATGGGCAGTTTGCACAGAGTAAATCGCAGTGTTTCCAATAAATGACTGGCCTAATTTTTATGTTCACTCTAAAATAATTATAGGATGCTTCATTATATTGAAGTGTGATATTTATAATGTTAATTTAAAAAAAGTTTTAAATCAAAACTATCCATCCATCCAAAACTAATGAACTTCTATTCTGTGGCTGAAGACATTTTGCTTCCCATCGAGAAGGCTTTATCAGTTCCAAAAATGTCTGGAGTGTGTGGAGTTCCAAGCTTTATATAGCTGCGTGATAGTCTTTGTTATGTACTTAGATTCACAGATTGGACTAAAACTACACGCCCCTCACAATAGAGTTGTTACGCTCTTTGTTTGCCTGGCTCATGAGAGAGGTGTTTAGGTCACATGCATGAAGGTGTGAATTAGAGTGAAACTGGCTGGGAATCAGGCCTAATGCTGCATTGTAAGTTTTTGAAAGTTGAAATTTGAGACTTCCTCTGTTGAAAGTTTTTTTTTTCTTGTTTGACGTAAATGGCTTATTTTACCCCCCCCCCTCTTAAACCATGTGGCTTCTCTGTCCAAAATATGAACATTTTGATCCTCAATAAAGTGTCCCCCATCCTTGAGATGCAGGTGGACGGCTGACTCTTGTCCTGAAGAGCTAGATCTCCAGTGTTAAGCTATAAGTCTGTAGAGTGTTGTTTAGTTTCTCCAATGTAGAGGTCTGAACATTTCTCGTTGCACTAAACTGCAGACAACACTGCTCAGTTTGGATTTGGGTGTTCTGTCATTAGAATGGACCAGCCTCTGAAAGTCTTGTCAGGTTTGAAATGCACCAGGATGTCATGTTTGGAGAAAATCCTCAGGTTCTCAGATACTCCAGCAACATATGACATGACAATGTTTTTGCATTTGTTCTTTGCCTGTTCTGTGGCATGCTTTTTAGATTTCCTTGTTGGTTTGATCCAAGTCCTGTTAGGATATCTGCAGGTTTGGAGAGAGTGTGGGAGTCCAACAGAAGGTACTGATCTGTATGAGTTGGTTTGCTGTAAACCACAATGTTGAGGTTTCCATCTCTTACCATGTGCACCAAGCAATCCAAAAAAAGGCAGCTTTTGTTATTAGCATCCTCTCTGGTGAACTTGATGTTGTTCTTCACAAAGTTGATGTGTCTGGTGATTGCTTCTACTTTGTTCCCTTGGATTTAGACCAATCATCTGCATATCTGAACCAGTGGCTTGATGTTGTTCCATTGAAGGAGTCCAGGACTCTCTTTTCCACTTCCTCCATGTAGAAATTGGCCACAGTCTGTGACACTGGAGATCCCACAGCACAACTATGCTTCTGATTGTAAAAATCTTTATTGAACTTGACATAAGTTGTGAGAAGATAGAAGTCCAGCAGGGTACAGATCTGGTCCTTATAATATTAACTTCCCAGAAATTAAGAAAAACTCCTATATCACAAGTAATTAATTGATTACATTTTAACAAATGAGATATGAACAATTTTGTTTCTTCACTTATCACAGAAGTTTAGTCTTTTTCTTTGTTCTAGTGTAAAAATAACAAAATTATCAAGATAGAGCTTTAATTTTGTAATAAACAATGACTTTTCATTATAAGCTTAATGAGTTGTGTTATGGACAGCACGGTGGCACAACTGGTAGAGCTGCTGGCTCTCAGGTCCTTGGTTCAAATCCCGGTCCAGGGGCCTTTCTGGGTGGAGTTTGCATGTTCTCTCCGTGCATGTGTGGGTTTTCTCCAGGTACTCCGGTTTCCTCCCACAGGCCAAAAACATGCATGTTAGGCTGATTGGCAACTCTAAATTGTCCCTAGGTGTGAGTGAGAGTGAATGATTGTTTGTCTCGTTTGTCTCTATGTGTCCCTGTGATGGACTGGAGACCTGTCCAGGGTGTACCCCACCCCTCGCACAGTGATTGCTGGACATGGGTACCGGTGACCCCCGTGACCCAAAATGGAAGAAATGGGTAAAAGATAATGGATGGATGGAGTTGTGTTATTTATTTATTTTATTTAACCTTTACTTCATCAGGAAAATCCCATTGAGATAAAAAATCTCTTTTACAAGAGAATCCTGGCCAAGACTGGCAGCAGCACACAGAGGTTACAGAACAATCACAACAAAAACAGAAAAAGTTAACTACGTCATAAACAAATTAATTAAGATAAAGATATATTTATATTTATCTTCAAATAGGTTTTGAGGTTTGAAGAAATTTTATTTACTGAGCAAAGGGGTTTTTAGTTTTCTACATTCGCCTTATAATCTAGCTGCTTTTGTTACTTTTTTGGCCATCTTATTTGTAACAAAAACACAAAATCATCTGTATGCCTGTTTATAATTGTCTATTGTTGTCGCTGTTGTCATCTTTCTTTGTTGAAATCAGGTCAGGTAAATGAGTCCTCGAGGCTCAATGGGATTAATCTGTCTAAATAAAGGTTGAATGAATGGAAAAAAATAGCTCTTTGGGTTGTAAAATTTGTTGACCCCTGAAATAGATTAACACTCCATACAAAATGTCTATATTTCTAAAAAATAAATAAATAAATAAATAAAGAAGAAAAAGAAAACAGCCATTAGATAAACAAACTTACTTTTGGAGTTTTTCATATTCACGCTCAAAATCTCTTTCAACCTAAAAAAGAGAAAAAATAAATCCCACAGATGAATAATGGCAGAATGACTAAATTTATTAAAGGCACCAATAATAATTACTTGTGTAGAAAAAATGAATAAACAGCCCATTTCACTCACTTTCAAGCTAAATTCAGTCCAGAGTGAAAATACAGAGGCAGAAAGAAGGACTCAGAATTGATTCCTTCTTTGTTTCACCTCAGAGTGACGGAGGTAGTCACAGAGCTAAATTAGCTTTTGTCTGTAAGGCAGCAGGTCCCACTAATAATACAGTGACATCATTTTACTGGGTGTTACCTCACACAGATTTGGCACAGAGCCACCCATGTTTGGTCATTGCCAGCAGCGACTTTGTAAGAATAGACTTTGCTGAGCTGTTGAAGTACAATAGATGTGTGAAATGGGCTAATAAGCAGATAACACTGATTTTAAAAACAATCCTTGAAAATATACCACCTTTAAACAGAATAGCAGGCACTCACATACAGGTCCTTCTCAAAAAATTTGCATATTGTGATAAAGGTCATTCTTTTCCATAATGTAATGATAAAAATGAAACTTTCATATATTTCAGATTCATTGCACACCAACTGAAATATTTCAGGTCTTTAATTGTTTTAATACTGATGATTATGGCATACAGCTCATGAAAACCCAAAATGCCTGTTCCAAAAAATTAGCATATTTCATCCCACCAATGAAAGACAAGTGTTTTTAATACAAAAAACACCAACCTTCAAATAATCATGTTCAGTTATGCACTCAATACTTGGTCGGGAATCCTTTTGCATGAATGACTGCTTCAATGCAGCGTGGCATGGAGGCAATCAGCCTGTGGCACTGCTGAGGTGTTATGGAGGCCCAGGATGCTTCGATAGCGGCCTTAAGCTCATCCAGAGTGTTGGGTCTTGCGTCTCTCAACTTTCTCTTCACAATATCCCACAGGTTCTCTATGGGGTTCAGGTCAGGAGAGTTGGCAGGCCAATTGAGCACAGTAATACCGTGGTCAGTAAACCATTTACCAGTGGTTTTGGCACTGTGAACAGGTGCCAGGTCGTGCTGAAAAATGAAATCTTCATCTCCATAAAGCTTTTCAGCAGATGGAAGCATGGAGTGCTCCAAAATCTCCTGATAGCTAGCTGCATTGACCCTGCCCTTGATAAAACACAGTGGACCAACACCAGCAGCTGACATGGCACCCCAGACCATCACTGACTGTGGGTGCTTCACACTGGACTTCTGGCATTTTAACATTTCCTTCTCCCCAGTCTTCCTCCAGACTCTGGCACCTTGATTTCCGAATGACATGAAAAATTTGCTTTCATCCGAAAAAAGTACTTTGGACCACTGAGCAACAGTCCAGTGCTGCTTCTCTGTAGCCCAGGTCAGGCGCTTCTGCCGCTGTTTCTGGTTCAAAAGTGGCTTGACCTGGGGAATGCGGCACCTGTAGCCCATTTCCTGCACACGCCTGTGCACGGTGGCTCTGGATGTTTCTACTCCAGACTCAGTCCACTGCTTCCGCAGATCCCCCAAGGTCTGGAATCGGCCCTTCTCCACAATCCTCCTCAGGGTCCGGTCACCTCTTCTCGTTGTGCAGCGTTTTCTGCCACACTTTTCCTTTCCCACAGACTTCCCACTCAGGTGCCTTGATACAGCTCTCTGGGAACAGCCTATTTGTTCAGCAATTTCTTTCTGTGTCTTACCCTCTTGCTTGAGGGTGTCAATGATGGCCTTCTGGACAGCAGTCAGGTCGGCAGTCTTACCCATGATTGCGGTTTTGAGTAATGAACAAGGCTGAGAGTTTTTAAAAGCCTCAGGAATCTTTTGCAGGTGTTTAGAGTTACGTCGTTGATTCAGATGGTTAGGTTAATAGCTTGTTTAGAGAACCTTTTCATGATATGCTAATTTTTTGGGACAGGCATTTTGGGTTTTCATGAGCTGTATGCCATAATCATCAGTATTAAAACAATTAAAGACCTGAAATATTTCAGTTGGTGTGCAATGAATCTGAAATATATGAAAGTTTCATTTTTATCATTACATTATGGAAAATAATGACCTTTATCACAATATGCTAATTTTTTGAGAAGGACCTGTATTCCAAATACTGATGAAAACAGAATTTTTCATTCAAGTCGAGGTAAATTGATGTGTGACTTTATCAGGTTTCAAATCCAAAAAAACATTGCAGAGAGGAGCTTGCTGACATAAGCTCACCCACACATGAAGACTTGTCTTGTCTGAATGGGATCTATCCTAGTTTGTCCCTCATCTCTCTTCAACAAGTTACTGAACCCTCGTGGCTTCCTGTCTCGTGGTTCTGTGGGCTCCAAAGTTTAAATGCAGGGGCAAAAGCAATAAAAGAAACAGTTGATACAACGGCTCAAGTGGACCATCTAACTGGCCTGTATGTAACCCACTCCATGGGTTTTGCTAAGGATGGCACAGGAAGCTGGAAAGCCAGACTTACTGTGACTGCTGGGCCACAAAGCCATTACAGTGGAAGTGGTTTTCACCAGCAAGGGGAACACCTACTCACTGTCACTTCAAGGTAATCACCGTCTGCCCCCTGAAGTGGCTCAAACAAATTAGGGTTAAAAAAAAAAAAATCTTCCACTGCTGTGCATCAACATCAGCATAAGGATGTTTGTATTTGTCACTCATTTAGCGTAAAGACTACAACTGGACCTTAGCAAACAGATCTGTTTTATTTTAATATAAACTTTGAGTCATGTGGGAAAAAATATGGTGTTTATGACTTACAGTTTTAGAGACGATCTGTTTTTTTGGTTGTCCAATCTTGAAGGGAATCCTGAAATGACACAAAAATCAATGAGAAGTGAAAAATGACCGGTGAGATTACTGAACAGTATAATACACAAAAATCAGTTCTGGTCTTAAGAGCATGAGCACCTCTTTAAAATGACTAACACAGACAGCAGGGGGCTGTAAACCCCTGTCCCTCTCAAATGTCTAGTCAGTGACATATACATTAACTTCATGTCATCGCTGATCACATCTGCCATCCACTGCAAATCGTCTCACAACAGAAGTGCTTGAACACTCTTCTCTGTGTGGTTTTGCTTCATGGCCCCAACCAACAACCAGATAAGATGCTCTATTGTGTTTCAGGAAAATATTAAATATTTTTCAGAACGTCAGACATGAACCTGAACATAACGGGAATCAAATAAATAACTATCAGAAGTGAGAGGTGTATTTAGTTACATTCATATCATTCTTTTGGAATGAAGTATAATTCACAAGAAAACACTCATTACAGGATTTGATCCAGTAATCAGTTCCTTATTTCTTAAAAAGCCTTAAGCATCAAAGCACAAATCCACAAGTCACAAAGCAAAACAAAAAAAAACTGTTACTGTCTGAAGCTTGTCATTCACACTGACGTGTCACCAATGATCTGAAGCCTGAGATATTTGAAGGACAGTTGCTGATAAAGGTAGGGCAAGGAGCAGTTCTCTATAGAAAGGCATGCAGACTAATGGGAGGGAAAAGCGAGGGTGTGATGGAAGTCCTCGTTGTGCCACCCGTGAATGTTACTGATGTGTGGAGATCCTTTTGATGACAGCTCAATCATAAAATTTAACAAGGTCAAATAACAGCAGGCTCTGTCGTAAGAAATACATGAAAATAAAAAATGCTGATTACCATGCCGTTTAAATTACAATTTGAAAGAATAAAATAAAATAAATTGCTACCACAGTCATTTAACTCCCCTGCTGCTCTTGGGTCAAAGTGGCCCACAAGGTGAGCAAAAGCAGCAGGACGGTAAATACAAAACATATATACTGTTATTTTCTGGCTAAACAAGTAGGTTCACTCACTCTGTCATAGTTAGAATGAGCCAGCATGAAAGAAAAACACTGATAAATTAAGGTGAGTCACTTTTACCAAACACCTGAGCGATACACACTCAACCCACGGATTTAACCGTCATTGAAATTTGTGAGGGATCCCTGATTACAACAGCAAATGCTTTAACAGAGACGTCTCGTGTCAACTTTAGCTGGAGATCAAGTTGCATTCTCCTGAAACTACAGAGATGAGGACAAGCCTGTTGCCGAACCTTGTAAAATCAGTTTTACTGTTTAATTCTTACAAAAAAAGAAGCTAAAATGCCAGTTGAGAACCAGTTTAGCTGAGACACAATAATAATAATAATAATAATAATAATAATAATAATAAAAGCTATGCAAGAGATTTACAACTGAAATTAAAGAGAACAAACAAAATATTGTCCAAACACCAAAAAAAAAAAAAAAACCATATTTATGAAGAAGCTTTAGAAGTTCTAGTGTGTGGACATTTCGGGAATAAAATGTTGACTTCCTACCGCAGAACCATTAATGCTCTAAGTAGAAAAATAAATGTTTTCCTTCCAGTGCTCACTTTTCTGTTTTCATAAGATTTCACTCTTCAACTTACTGGAGAATGAATTACCAGAAAATTTATATAAAGTAAAGGCATGTAAAAAAAAAAATAAAAAAAAATACTTTTTTTAAATGGAGGAATCTTACTCTTTAAATGCTCATGGGTTCTGGCAATCACACACCCTCAAGGCAGATGAACACAGCAGAATAATGAGTTTAGAAAACTTCAGACCAACATTTTCAATGAGCAATATAAACAGGAATATAATTTCACAAGAATGATCACAGAAAGTAAATAAAGTGGTATCAATAATGTGACGTTGCTGCACATTTTCAGGCCTAAAATAATACAATTTAAAGAGACTACCTATTTGCAGTCATTATCAACAAGCTAGCAATTATACAGGTATCTGATCTGTGACGTAACACGGTACAAATCGCTGGCATCATGGAAGCACGTAGGCATAAACAAAGAAGTAACAGTCTTCTCTTTTCGGGACACATTGTGCACCAACTGGAAGAAGCAGTGGCTTTTCACTAAAACTGCAAATGTGAACGCCATTAGAGAGATACTGCATCATTTGACCTTGGATATTCCATGGAGCACAGAGGGCTTGTTGAAGATGTTGGGAAGTGAAATTGTTTTGATGATGACCCCAAAGTCAAACCCCTTGCGTCATAAAACCTAGTGTGCAGGCCCTGCTGGAATGCATCAGTCAGCAGAGACAATAAAGGACTCTTTTCAATGGCAGAGGACTCCACTCTTGACCTTGTGGTTGGCAGTGCATGATGGCAAAAGTCCTGCTTGCCAGCTATTGACGATTGGGCTGAACTAGATGACGCCATCTTCCTTAACGTCTTGCTTGAAAATGACTTAAGGAATGTATGATCCTTTATAAAGCGAGTTGATATACATCAACGTCACCAAAAAGTTAATGTATCTTTCAATTCACTGTGAATTGCCTTCATGAATAGTGAGACGAGAATACTGTAAACCTTTGAGTCCTTTGAGACCTAATGTGTGCAACATCGCTACGTCATTGTTTTAAAGGGCCTTTAATGGTATTTTCAGACTTTCATTTAACATGTATCCATGTCAAAGACGCTATGTGCCATAAAATGTACACAATAAGTGGCATACATACAAAATAAGACAATATATAAAACAAAAAATGAACTAAATATGATAGTCAAGCAGCCTTATCTGTTTAATAGTGTAAAGGTTAGGCCAAAGTGAGCAACTGCAAAGAAACAAAATATATTTGTTGCTAGAAATGTTATAAAGTGGAAGGAAATGTACTCAACACACTCCCTTAGACTTTAACTGTTCCACATTCTCTTCCTTTACTTGTCAGCTTTTTGCCCAGATGCACGCTGAAGAATTTGAAAACTATCACTAAAAGTCTGACGTGAACCAACACATGGAAGTACTAGTGCTGTTAAAACTTTGGCATCCAACAGAACTTGCCAGCTGCAGTCAACAATGCATAATGTGTAAATTGACATTAGTAAAAGAGAATTACTGGAGAACAACAGACACATTGCTTGACTATTTGTGTGACAACAATGTCTAGCAATTAGAAGTAAACCCTTTATACACCACAAAATAAATGACATTGGGAGATAACACTGGTTAAAGGTGTCTGCTTTTTTCTGTCACGTTTGCTGATGCTCCATTTACAATAATATTTAACTGAGTGCTGGATGAGAATATATGTTCATTTTGCCTGTGGGAACTTATTTAAGAAATAACAGTCTTCTATTATCTTTTGTTTCTGCTGTAAAAAAATCGGCCTGAACGACTATAATTTTCAAATGATCCCATATCTTCTCAGTGTGGCTAAGAGTGCTGACTGATGACAGGTTGAGTGTTTTCATTTTATTTTCACCTTTTTGTCACAAACATCGCAGACTGAATATTCACAATAGATTCTTGGAGCTGTGCCACATGACCAGTTGTTACTGTTTGCAAACAACATTTAAACTCAGACATTTATTACCACTTTAACCAGCTGGTAGGACAGCCCATACTGCAAGCTGCAGAAGTCGAGAGCTCTTAAGAACAAAAGAGAAAAAAAGAGCTGAGTCTGTGAAAAGCAATGAGTAATTCAAATCTCTGATTGCTCTCCAGCTTTTATGTTTTATGGACCAAAGCAACCACAACCCACAGAAATTTGTAAAATTCACTGATATGAGTGCAACTGCAGTGCACTTCCTCTCACGTTAATAGGAAATCAACATAATAGTAATTTTATAGAAAATACCAACGGTTTAAAAGGCATCTAACAATGCACACAACAAACATTTATCATTATGATGTTCTGAACAGAGAACAAATAGTGTTTTTGTGACAGGCTACCTGAAACAAAGCGCCCAAGTACCAAATTAAAACTGTTGTTTTTGTCAAAGTGTCTTCTACATGTGGACACAACTCAGACTCAGCATTTTCCTGCCTGTTAATAGTTGGTAGCCCTTGGTAGCCATGACATGAGACATAGAGCCTGGAGTATGGAGAAAGAGGCAAAAGTTTTTGTACTGGCTTGTGTAATGGCTAGCCAAACAAGGGTCTCATATTTATAATTTCTCAGACTTACAAAACAACTCTCAAAAATGGCATATAGCTGTGAAAGGATGTTTCATTAGCCAATATTAAAACTCTTTGATTTGCTTGACTGTTTAGTTTGTTGACGTTTTCGTTACCTAAAACTATCTGTTATTACAAAAATGTACGTGTTCGGACCATAGATAGATATTTTATTTAGTTTATTAATATTTATTTAACCAGGCAAATCCCATTGAGATCACAGATCTCTTTTGCAAGGGAGGTCCGGGTCTGAAGGCAGCCTAACATGCATGTTTTTGATCTGTGGGAGGAAACCGGAGTACCTGGAGAAAACCCACGCATGCACAAGAAGAACATGTAAACTCCACACAGAAAGACCCCAGGTCCAACCGGGGATTGAACCCAGGACCTTCTTGCTGTGAGGCAACAATGCTAACCACTGAGCCATCGTGCTGCCTATTGTCAATGGTGACAAGGCCGTTATGCATCAGTCTGCTAGATCAGAGTATCCAGTTAGTCAAAAGTTTACTCAACTCGTGGCACGATAATGAAAGTAAATAAACATCTAAAACTGATGTACTATTAGAGTCAGCCATATTCAAGACTCCCATCACCACTAACCAACATTGCCCATGCAAATAGCTATAACTCATGGAATTTGACAATTATGTGCTAAAATTTATTGTAAAAGTAGAGAAGTTAGCCACAAAACATACTCTGAGCACTAAGTTGTCCCTCAAAATCTTACAATATTGTGTAACAGTGTTTCCCTTAATTACTGACTTTTGGCAGGGTGCTCGGTTCTGTTGACAGGGCAGGACACCCTCCTTCGATAATGGTACGGGAAACACTGCGTAAGACTGTACAAAGCATTGTTTTCAGTGTTTGACCCAAATAACATCTTTGTCATTTCTCAACATAATGAACTTAGTGTAAAACTCTGCATGAAAAGCAGCGGGTGACATGCATTTCACTGTCTAACCACAATTACAGTGACAATTAATTCCTCGTGGGCTTTCCCCCGCAACTGTAGTTCTTTACTGGGGGTGCACCGATTGCAGTTTTCTGGATGATCAACGATCTCTAAAAAGTCTGACCTGCCGATTCCGATTTTGGCCGATATCAATTATGTTTTATAAGGTCACAATGCACCTTCAATTTTCCAATCCTATTTTATTGAAAAACATGCCCTTGAACAATATCCTAGAAACAATACAAACTTGTTTTAACTGGCCACGAGGTAGTGCTCTGAAATATAAATGACGTTTAGACGACTTGTTAAAACTACAAAAAAATCTGTAAAATCGGTTTTGCATGAAAGTATCGGCAAATCTCCTAAAATTAAGGAAATCGGGACGGCCCTATTCTTTACATAAAGTAATATGTTTTAAGATCATCATATTCTTATCATAAAGTTTACCCTGCAAGAAATATTTTAAATGAGATACATGTGGTGTAAAAACAGAAGTAAATATGAACTTGAGGTGAATAATATTAAATATTTCCCTCAATCATGAGTACCGTACAATTACTACAAAATATGAACCTAATTCCAGCACCTAAATGTCCTTATTAATTATATTATGGCTTCATCTTGTTATCTTTAGTGCAAAACTGGGAACTACACTTTCAAAGGTTAGTCTGTATTGGGACAGATTTAAGGGCGACACTAGCAAGTGATCTGACACTGTACAAGTGACACTTTTTCAGACATTCTTTGTTTCTAAACAGATTAGCTGAAGCTCACTTTAGATAACGTAATTTAACTGCTTTGTGAAACTCATCCCTCGTTGAAGCGAACACGTATGAGGCTTAATTTGCGATCCGCGGAGTTTAAAATGCTAAAGGCTAACTCCCGTCTACTTCTGCCCTGCTGTCTGATTAGCATTTCCAGGAACTAGCCGGAGCCCCGGTCGATAAGACGTTCTCTTTATCATTTCAAATAAATCGCTTCAAGTTATAACTTAACCCCAATCGATACATCAGAGTAGAGTAGCTAAGATACGTACCAGCTCATTCTGAGGGAATTTTTATTCCGGTTTCACTCGGTAGTTGTACTATCTCCCGAGAACCATCGCTTGCTACAGCCTCACAGCGCCGAGCGTCAACCGGAAGTCATCGCAGCCGAGCAGTCCGTGTTTCCTCTGAGGAAGTCCTACGACAAAAAAAATTAACACAACGTAGGAAAAAAAGGCACAATGTGGAATTAATGTAATATTATCAGTCGATACAGTGGTATAGTTGTTGCTAAACTATTTTAAATGTGATGTAATTTACATTTTTCTTTCAAATGTGTGTTTGTTATGTAGGCTACACGCTGGAAAGCGAGCAAACAGGAGGACTGTAGGCAAGTTGTCTTATATTTTTTCTTTATTCAAGTACTTACATAGAAATAACAGAACATTTGCATTACAACAAACTGAAGTGCCAGGTAAACGGAGGAGCACATCTCCCCATCACAAGGGTAGAGTCAAATTTATTTAAATATTCAGCTCATCATAAAAGGACCTTATTATAAGGTAATAAAAAAACAAACAAACAAACAAAAAAAAAAAGACATCCACGACATTTTTAACAAGACTCCTAGTTTTCTGCAACAGAAAAATGCCAACAGAACAGTTAGTCCATGGTGTGTTTCCAATTGTCAAGTCTTGCATTGTTGTTTCTCCCATTTCGCTCAATGAGACTTTTATTTTTTCATGCATAATAAAGAAAGGTGCACCACCCACTGCATCTGTGGGCAGCACTGTGGAACATGTCCGTGCACATGCAAAAATGAGGATATTCTGTCAGTGAAAGTGAACACAACACAACAGAAAAAAAACTGAGGATCGACTCCATCTGAACGCCACTGTTGAAGACCACAAAATCCCTGAAGCCACCCTGTTGACCTGAAGATGACATGAGTCGGCTAAATTATCTACATATTACTAAAATCATGAACTTGTTTTTTGTTTGGTTTGAAAGAAAATGAATTATTATTGATTGCCACAAGTGATCCGAAGCCCGTAGCCTTATGCCCAAGGCCAACTCTACAAAAACTGAGCCGGGCGGTCACGCACAGACATCAGCAAAAGGCTGCCTTCAGCTACACACAGACGGAGGTCACATTTAGGATTTGTTGCTCCTGTAAAGTTTTAGTCATGTATTGTTTTTGATCAGCCAACCTTGCAACCCAGTTTGGTGCAAAGATGGCTGCCGAGGTTGGCCCAGATCCAGCACAGAGAAAAGGACGTGGATGAGACAAATCATACAGAACTCACTGTTTACAGCCTTCATAACATAGAGCGCACAATTGGATGCTGGAGAAAACAACTTGTTTTGGGGATTATTTGTGTATACTTGTAGCATTCGCAGATACACAAACGTGACGGAGCAGGACTGATGGTATTTTGAGTTTCCAGACTTGTAATGGCTTCATTTGGACTTTAAAGCAGTTTGGTTGTAGGCTCTGCCTTACTTTGGATCAATCTGCAATACAAACACAGTTTTCTCCTAAAGACGAGCATAACTTTGAATTATTCTAACATTAAACTCACGCTTTAAAACACCGTTTTGGTTATGAACTCTGCTGTCTCCTCTCTATCAGGATGTTTGCACTCAAAGCCGTCATTCATTTAATCTTTAACCCGTGCAAGATTACTGTAACAGTATTCATCTGGTTAAATAAATAAGGAATATAATCTGCAAAACTAATTATTATTTTTTTGGACTTTGTCCAGTCAAGATGTTCATTTCTGTCGCAGTTTATTTTTGTTGCAGCAGAAAAGTAAAAGTTATCCAACCAATGCGGAGGAGCTGTGCGTTTTCACGACACAAAGAAACATTTGATTTGTGTCATGTTAAATATTGCAGGCTGTGTGAACTTTTAAACTTTTTTAAACAAGTGCCAAGAGGTCTGTTCATTTAGCCATGTAGATGAGTTTAGAAAAGACTCTCTCAGGCCAAATTAATTGGAAAATAAATGGATTCTTGCCAGAAGGCTCAGCAGTGAAAACGGTTGCAGGACAAAGTGTGGCCTGCAAAGCTCATTTCTGCATGAACTGTGTTCTCGGCGGCGCCGCTTGTCCGAATCTTTCCTTTGGCCTTTGTCGGTTCCCATCCTGTTTTAGCACAATTGTTATATTTGCTGACGGGCACTGTATTTTTCTCGGCAGCATTTAACAATGTTTAAACATGTTTTCTGCAGTCAAGAAGCACAGTCAGTGACCTGACAGAAATCTGTAAGAATATCATTAAAAAAATTTTTTAAAAATCAGGCTAGATCGGAAGTTTTCTTTTATATTGAGGAGAAATAATATAAGATAATATTTCAAATTCAAAAAGTATTATTTCGCACTGAAAAGGTGATTACTTAACGAGTCTGTTTTTAGATTGATACTTGTTTGGCAACTTAAAAACGCACACCTCAAAATATACACCATCATTTTTTCCTCATTCTTATTTCTCATCATTTTTATTGGTTACTTCTCATAAATAGTGTTAATTTTTTTTTGTTACACCTGAGCTCCATAAACCCACAAAGTTTTCTTAGAGGAAAAAAATGTCCAGGTTATTTAAAAGTAAGACAAACAATGCTTTTAGAAAACAGACTTTTATAAAAAAAAAAAGGTGTGGGTTTTAATGATATATGTTAACATGAATATAATACATTTAAAACCAGTGAAGCCATTAGCAGAAGCCGTCACAAAATCTTGTCACGGAATGATAAAACTGGTATTTCCTTCTTTCAGCAGACAAGCGAGGTGAGTAAAGAGTCATTAGTGAAAACTATTTTCATGCTCTGAAATGTATTTTGTTTGTTAAACGTTTCAAACATTTGGGAAAACGTCGTAAATAAGAATTTTTCTATAGCGGGGAGTTGTGGTAATTTATATAAATCTTTTTTTTTTTAATGGAGATGCACAAAATAGTGTTGCTTTTTCATTCAGAAAACATATTAGTGCTTCCTTGAACTGGTTTCCACTTTCAAGCAGACGTCGCTGCTTCCATTTGTTGTTTCTAGTGGAACATTCTTTGCACCATACTGCAGCAATCTATAAACTGTGCAGTCTATAACAACTAAATGTTTTTTTGCCATATAACAATATTAGGAAAATCTTTAGGACAATCTGCACAAGTCGGTTGAAAGTTCTCGTTTATGCAGACATTTGTATATACATAGTGTGCATGTATGGATGCACGTATGTGCACAACTGAATACTGAATGATGGAGTGTTTGACACTTGAGTACAAAAGGTGGCATTTTTCACCGGAGCTACACATTTGATTACTGTACAAAAAGAACAACACCTCATTTTACAGCTCAGTCTCTCTGCATTAAAAAAATATGTAAACATGGATTTGGAAGTTTTTGCTTTTTAAAATTTATTTATTACTTTCTTACCATTTAATGTTCATCTTTTGGCATCTTCAGCCAGGTAGTTTAATCTTTTTACACTGAACAGCACAAACAAAAGACCTCATTCGTCTTTTCTTTTACATACCGCTCGTTTGCAACCCAGTGTTGGCTTATTTATTTATGTTTTGTAATTAAATATTCAGTCCGCCTTGCCGTGCTCCAAGTTAATCTGATTTACGAATTGTTGGCATATGTTATTTCATTGCATATTGCAGAACACATGAAAAATGAACAGGATTGTTGAGCTTTCAAGAATAAAAACATTAAAAAAAAAACTACATTTGGCAACACAATGTAAACCCATCACATAAGAAATGAAAACAAGTAACACACAGTGTTTCGTAATGACTTAAAATAAATAAGTATTGGCAAAGGCATCACTCACTGCAGGCATGTGCGGACATGTAAGAGGACAAGACATCGGTTTGCTTTGTGTGACCCAGTCCATCATTATCTAGATTTAACCGAACGCTGCGGGATCATCTAAACCTGCGGTGAATTAAACCAACAAGCTGTTGCCACTGTTGGATATGGCAAATATCAGGCAAAAAGATAAGAACTAGACTGACTGCATCACCCTGATACATTTGGCACATTAAAAAAAAAACATTCAAATAAAAAATAAAAAAAACACACTACACCTCAACAAAAAGACAGTCACGTGCCACTATTAAGGTATTCATGACGGTACACAAATATAACCAATTGCACTTTTAAACAGCCTAATAAAATTAATGCATACATCCCAGACAACTAACACTTTCACTGAGCTCCATTATTGTCTGTTGGCACCCCTATCATGGATTCTGGCTAAGAACATTTCTGTAAAATTTACATAAATGTGTTCACCTCAGAACCTATCGATACACAGAGGTTGTTGGGACAGAATGTGCTTTTAGCACCCGTCTTTGTGTTGACACTGTGTTGCAGTAGCTGAGGCTTTCGATTGCTTAAAAGTAAAGGAAAAGCAGCCCTTCCCCTCGTACTCAAACTAAAGGCGTCCATCTCAAAACAGAAGGAACTGAAAGGAGCAGGGGTGTAAACGAGAAGAGAAGAGTCACCTATTTATCTCATAGTAGATGTGATCCTTTCCTCCCAAGTCTCTTTGTGCTCTAGTCCATGTGCACGTAGTGATGGTCATGACGTTCCCACTGCTGGCCCCCCACAGCTGGGCGGTGAGCTGTGGTTCCCAGCCGCCCCACTGCTCTTATCCGCCTGCTTCTTGTCCTTCTGTTTAAGATGAACCTTTGCATGTCTCTTTCGCTCGTCGCTCCTGGCGAACTTGCGTCCGCAGAACTCGCAGGAGAAGGGTTTCTCTCCCGTGTGAGTGCGAATGTGCGTGGTCAGGTGGTCGCTTCGGCTGAAGGAGCGCATGCATATCCGGCACTGGAAGGGTTTGTGACCTGTGTGGATGCGGAGGTGACGAGTGAGCTCGTCTGAGCGCGAGAAGCGCCGGTCGCAGTTCTCTGCCGGACAGGCGTGTGGCCGTTCGTGGACGGGCGTTTTGCTGGGACGGTTGGGGTACTTCCGAGGCCGGATGGGTTTGAGGGTGAGAGTCTGAGGCGGCGGGTGGTGCTGAGATGGGTGCTGTTGCCCGCCGATGAAACCTGGGTGGATTTGTTGCTTGTCCTTGAATGCTCTGATGGTCTCCAGGGGTGTGATGGGTGGAGGGTTGACTCGGATGGGATCCATGGACTGGAAGGGCTTGTGCTCCATCACACCAACCTCCCCCTGATGATGAAAAAGGTTGTAGTCAGGGATCATGGAAAACAGGCTGCCATCCATGGGGGCTTTGGACGTGGAGTGATAGTCATTGCCAGGGTAGGGTAGAGCTGTGCTGGTGGCAGGGCTGTGGTGAAAGGAGACTTGATCTTGGTACAGGTCGCTGCAGGTGGAGTAGGCAGGCAGTGGCGGGCCGTATACCTGCTCCATGTCCGACGTCTGTCCGCCCATGCTGGCTGCAGAGGATGATGTCTGCGTCGTAACCGTGCCGGGTGACGGAGAGACACCCAAGATCCCTGCACTGACCAGGCTGATGATATTGTTATCGGGGCACCAACCAGAGCCACCAATTCCACCCGAAGGAGGAGTGTCGAAGGCAAACTTCCCTAAATATGTGACGGTCTGCCCGCTGCGGTTGGACTGGAAGCTGGATCCATACTGAATCTCTGAGCTCGCCTTCTCGTTCCCCATACCCAGATCCATGATATTATCTAGATCAAAGCAAATACAAAAGAGAACATTATTAAATTAACCATTTAACATACACAGTCTTTTAGAATAGGTTTGAGGCATGAATTCAGTTAAAAACGAACTTAATCAACTTTTCTCAAATGTTTTGTTTCAAGGCAAAAAAGTAAAAAAATAAACGGAAAGCTCCCATACTCATGAAGAAACGTGAGCTGTGTCAGACCTGGAAGTTAAGTGACTGAATGCTGCGTCTGAGAGAGTGGTGTCTGTCTCTCCCTCACAGATCCCACAAGCACTCATAAATCAAGACCTAAACACCCCCTTTGATCCAGTCATTGTGTCCCTCAGGAGGACAGCCAAACGGAGTGGCAAGACTTCATGTCTTAACAGCAGGGAGGATTACAAGGCAGACGCCACAAACCCAAAAACGCCCGAGAACTCAAGACACGTTTTGAAACACAAAACATCTGGAAATAAATTCAAGTGTTTCCTTTTTTATGTTTTTTTTTTTTTTTTTTTGCACATACCTTACAGTTTCAAACTTCTTCCAAAGATGAAAAGAAAAATCTAATCAATTTTTAGGGTTTTATTTTAGTGACTGCCATGCTCTAAAAAAAAATAATGTGGCATTTGAAAAATAAATCTTTCCAAATCAGAAGTTCAAACAAACACCTCTTCCCATTTGCAGGAGAATTTGAAATGTTTGTTTTATTACAACCTGCTAGAATTTGTCTGCAAAAAAAAAACTAAAATAACAATAATAAAATGACAAAGTGGATAAAAATAATTTAACAGAGTTCACAACATTTTTTTTTATGTATGACATTAAGAACATGCTTCTGTATTGATGTTAATAAAATGTTTTCTGAACCTTTTAAACATTTAGTGAAGGGTTTGTACAAATATATATATATTTTTCTTTTTTTTAAATGCGAAATCAAAAATGTAAAACACCAGTTTTTTTTTGCTCCAGCTGCAAATCACCACAAATATTCAGATTTTACAGCTTATGTTGAGCATTTCTGTCAACACATAAAACAGAAACACCCTAGAGCTCATCATTAAGTTATAGATGAATTCAAATTTAATCTTTTACCTCACATCTCGCTTATATATAAATAAAAAACGACCTAATCTCGGATTTTATAAACTTAGACCCGCTCGTATTTAATTGCATTTATAGGGGGGGGGGGGGGGGGCATTTATTTCTGCGTGTGAAAATTTAAAACGCACATATGTGATAACTCGTCTAAATAAAAACTAAATCCATTTAAAAATGATGAACAATTTAATTGTATTCAAATAGATAAATGGCGCGCGTTAGTCTGCAAGGTAAAGTCTCTACATTAAATGTTGAATTTGACAGCTTAAAAAATGCTATTTATTTATTTATTTAGTCCAATATTGATCCGTCACCTTTAAAATATTTCAGATTTATTTATGACCCGAACCAGTGGTTGTGTTTACTCTGAAACATGAGCTTCATATTATAAATCAGTGTTAGTTCGGGCCAGGCGTTTGAACGTGTTTCTAGGAAGCGCGCACCCACACACGCCTACTGGAACCAGGGTTGTGAATGAAAGTCCCTGTTTGAGATGATGACCCTGGTTTATTTATTTATTTGTTTGTTTGTTGTTCAGGGGGATCTCAAATCTGCAGGTTGTGGTCTCACCTGTAGTGTAAAATATGACCTAAGAGCTGGAACATGTTTCTGAATGCGTAAAATAATCTACTCATAAAAACATTTTCTCATTTTTTAAAGAATTAAAACCGCAACAGCTTTAAGTGTTACACATCATTTGAGCCTTGACATAATTTAAAAAAAATAAATAAAAATTGCCTTTGTTGTGTAAATTCTGACATTTTTGGCGCGCGGTAATTGAGTCAAACCAGAATTGATTTATTTACTATTTTAAAAAGATGATCTCTAAACTTGATTGTAGTCAAACAGGTGAACTGAATCACACCAGAGCCCGCATGAAGGAGGTCGTTACAGGAGCGCGTGTTGTGCGCAACAGAGCGCAAACAGGTGCCTCCAAACCCGGAGACAACTGTTGCCGCCCGCGCGCGCATCGCACTTTGAGCCGCTGAAGAAATCATCCAACTAAACAAACAGAACTCACCTGTGTTCATCTGCGAGTAGTGGTTAATAGATTCCGTATTGGTGAAAATATTCATAGACGTCGGGATGTCCTCCTCCGGGTACAGGCTGTCAGGGATCGTGTTTATTAAACTGCTCATGGTAAGAGGGATCTTGTCCGCTAGTTTCCCTGTCATAGCACTTCGATTCAATCCGACATTTAAAAGCAAACAAACAGCGCGCAGGTATCCAACACCAGACACGCGCGCACCGGCTCTTCTCAGAGGAGGCTGGAGCAGGTGCCGATCAGGAGACGAGGCGCAGGATGGATCCTGAAGATCTTATCCGAGTATCTCGCGGAGGAACGAGCAGCTCCGGGTCTCTCTCTCTCAACCTGTCTGTCTGTCCTGTCCTCGTCTGTGCGCGCACGAGCTATTGTTGTGAGTCTGAGCACTGTGGAAGGGCTGCGTGCGTGTTGTGGGGGATTGTGAAGTTCAACGGAGGAGGAGATGATGCTTGAACAAGAGCCGCTCTACTTGTTCTATTAGAGCTGGAGAAAGGGGACTCCAGTCTAAATAGGGGGATGGAACATTTGCGTGACGTAGATGACCATATATGGACATGGGCGATCAGCTCCAGGCTCTCCGCGCGTCAGTCGGTGGAAACTACAGTGGAGGCAAAAAGGCTCCGATAGAGAGAGAGAGAGATGGCAGCAAAGTTTACAGAAATCCAGATGTGACATCCAGCTGCGTCCTTCTCGGGGATCAGCCGGAGGCTCTCCTCGGTTCCCGTCCTTGTGAAAAGTGATTAAGTAGCTTCTTATCTTTATTATCCTCAGTCCTTGTGATATTTCAGTGGGCGAGCTCAAGCATCTCTGCTCACAAGTAAAACAAACAAAAACCGTGTTTTGTCTTTCTTTTCACACCACTTTTATGTCACACACGTGGTATAAAGTTAAATAAAACTATAAACAAAGTAGTTAAAAGTTGCTGTTTTTGCCATCAGGCGTACCCTGCGTTCACACAGGACTTTGTATCTTTTTCTTTTTTACCCCACTGGTGAACTTCCACACACTTTGTGCGGTCCTGGATTGCAGAACTCTGGTTCAAAGCCCCCTTCTTTCCCTCAAGCAGCATCGCTGTCAAACAAAGGCAGTAATTGACGAAGTTAATCGTTTGTAAATATTGCAAAGCTTTGCACAGGCTTGTTTTGACTTGGAGCCCGAGCGGCCGGTTGAGTGGAAGCTCCAAATAAGGCAGTGTCCGGCCACGCCCCATTCGCGTCCGTATTTGGACATGGAAGTTCCGGGTGAAGTGGTAGTGGAAAAGTGATCGGAAGCCACAGACGTTAAAAAAAAAAAAAAAAAGGGCGACAGTGGACCAAGCGTCATGGTTAGCTTCTTGATTATTTTTAAATCAGCGTGCCAACTTGTAAAAATAAATAAATAAATTTAGTGCTTTTCAATCTTGCAGAATATACAAAAAAAAAAAAAAAAACATGTCGTAATCTTGTTACTCTGAAAACTAAAATAACTTTGGGGTCATGCTCTGACTCACAGGCATCAGTCTCATCTTTTGTCATCTATTACTTCCTAATAGATTTTTTTTTGGAAGGTTTGTCATAAAAAAAAATCACATATTTTCTGCTGTCACTATAAATACGTATACTCTAAGGCCTTTGGTTTATTTTCAGAAAATACTGAATGACATGTCAGCGCTTGCACAGACATGAGAAATTAATATTACCTCTGAGTGTAAACAGAGTGTGTGGGAGAATTAGTCAGAATCATGCTTGGTTTTTAGGGGGCTTACACAAACAGAGCACTCGGTGATCCACGTTTCACTGCCAAAGACAAGTCCTCCGTGTGTTTGTCCTTATGTTTTATGAATGCTTGTTGTACCATTGGATCAGAAAGACAATAGACTCGATTAAAAAAAATTAACACTCATATGACCAGCCAAAGATAAATCTTCTCTTTTGGCTTCTTCATCCATCTCGTACTGACTCATTTTTTTGGACACGCTTACCTTTTTCAGATTTTTTGTTTTGTTTTAGTCAAATCAAACTTAAAAATGCCCTGTGTATTATATTTAAAAGGGATAGTTGGTTATTTCTGAAGCGATGTTCTGCCAGTCATCAGTCGTTATCAACCGTGACATCAGTCATAGGGAGAAGTCTTCCTCCAGACTAGGCTAATAGCTAACCAAATATTTAGGCTTATAAAACAACTCTTCCTCACACATTACATACTGATGTGTTTGGGGGAGTTGGGTAACAAGATCATGCAGACTTGATTTGAGCCTCAGCACCACTGGCATACATATACAGTACCATTGACATAAATAAAGATGAAGTGTGAAGCCTCCTCCCATTGTTCAGGATTGACACTAAAATGGGACATGGATGTGTGCTTTTTGTTCAGAAGACCTGCCCTCCCAACTCTCCCAACAGGCCACAGACTAACATGATACTTTTCTTTAAAACTCAAACAACTATAGAAACTAAATATATAGCACAAATGCACATTGGAACATACTGCACAGTAGCAAGGTCTTCTTCTTTCAGCTTTTCCCTCTCCAGGGGTTTCCACAGTGAGTCACCTTTGTGACCTCTGCTCCTTGTAGCCTCACTGTTCCACCGGCCTCCCTCTCATTCACACACATCTGTCTTATGGCTGATTTTCATTCCTCTTCTTTCAAGTGCATACCTCCACCTCTCCAAGTTCTCTTCCACCTGTTCCCTGTTCTCATCACAGATCACATCATCTGCAAACGTCCATGGGGGTTCCTGCCTGACCTCATCTGTTAGTCAATCCATCACCAGAGCAAACAAGAAGGGGCTCAGAGCCGATCCTTGATGTAATCCCACCTCCACCTTGAAGCTATCTGTCACTCCTACAGCACATCTCACCACTGTCCTGCTGTCCTCATACATGTCCTGTACCAGTCTAGCACAGTGGCAAGGTATGAATAGATAAAACATTTACATGGAGGTTAGAGACTTTAAGCTTGTGCAGCAGCCAGTCTGCAGCCTTTGTGGCTTCAACTTTCAGCTTCCAATCCAGTCTCTAGTTACAGTATATGTTGACGATGCACTCAGCATATACTGTACATTGGAGTAGTAACAGACATTGTATAGTTGAGAAAACAGCAACAAACTAAAGATGTCAATGAAAAATGTAGAGGGTTATTAGCTAATGTGGTGTTCCTTCACACTGATATGTTGTTTTCAAGAAAGAATTGTTTAATAAGTCTGAAACACACACGGACAGACAAGCTTCTGTTTGGCTGTAGCCATTAGCCGAGCCTGGACAATGACACCCTTTTCTTCAGACTCCACACTTTCGACTGATGTCTCGGCTGATAAAACACTATTGATGACTGTTAGACAGAGTGTCACTTCTAAAATGACCAGACAATCTTTTAAACTATTTTTTGGTCCTTCCATGAAGTAGCTTTACAGAACCAATTAATCAACATGTGCTCACTTTGAACCAAACAACAAAAAAGCTCGAGTGTCATGTCATATTAACATGACTCATGGACGTTGTCTTTTGTTATGTTCCAATACAGTCAAGTCATTTAAACACAACCCAATATGTATTTATAGTCTTTTGCATTATGCTGTGTAATTTCCCTGTTGTTTTTGTCCATCACAGTTTGGTCAGTGGAAAAAGGGTCTCTGTTGTGTGCACAGATACAAACCAGTGAAAGAATCCCCATATTGTGGTCCAGGGCTCACTCTTGGCTTTCTTATGACGGGGATGAGTTTGAGCATATGCGGTTGGAAAGTTGTCCACCCCAGCTGGAACACTAACCTGTTTCAGGTGTGTTTCCTCGAGCGTGAGATGTGTCACAGGGGGGCAGGCGTGCAGTTTATCAATGAATTGTGATGTGAAATCTCTTTGACTTCAGCGGACGCTGGCTCTTTTGCATACAGGAGTTCCATGGAAGCAGAGGCACCGTGGAAACCTCTCCGGGCACCATGTACGTACAGTCAAATCAGTTTTTTTTTTCTCTCCACATTTAGGCCTGAAAGGGAATTTGTCTCTTGTTGATATTGAAAAAAAGCTGATTCATGTTACACAAACTTCACATTGGTTCTTTAATTAATGGCTAAGAGATCATTTCACGTGTTTTTAAAACTTGATCTTTAAATACTGAAGTCAAATCAAATGCTTCTACTGTTATAATTGTATATACTTCAACACCTTGAACAAAACAGTAGAATATAAAGTAAATAAACTGGAAAGAGGCCAGGGGAAGAACCAGAACTCGCTAGAGCACGTATGTCAACCTCAAGGCCCGGGGGCCAAATGTGGCCCTTGTTGACATCTTAGCTGGCCCCCAAGATGATATACTAAACGTAAAATATTTTTATCACTTGCATTTTTTTCAGTAATCTTTAATTATGATGTCAAAAGTGCAACAGAGAACGTCAAATGAGACCAATCAAACTCTTGTTGAGGAACCTGCAACCAAGAAAAGATGTTGGGTATCTAACTTGAGTTAATGTAGATTCTGAAATTGGCCCTTAGTTTGAAATAGGGTTTATTTTTTGGCCCCATTTTTGTAAGTGAGTTTGACACCCCTTCACTAGAGGGATTGTGCATCTTCTCTGGCCCAGGAACATGTCAGTGTCCCCCAGGTGGAGCTGGAGAGCGTCACCGGGGAGAGGGATGTCTGGATTTCTCTCCTGGACCTGCTGCCTCCAGGACGCAACTATGTATAAGATAAGTTGTAGAAGATGGAGTTAACATAATAATAGTAATAGTTGAAATAATAATTAATAAATAGCACATCAATGGGTCTTCAAACTACATTTATCATCACATCATTGTTTCGGATGGGTGTTTTGCACGTGTTAAAAACCTACTTCTGAGATTCCAACAGGAGGATGGCTTGAAACTCAGCAGTGAGGGCTACCTATGGGACAAATCTGGTAGACAGGCCATAGACTGAGGAAGTCCTCTGGATGAAACGTTTCTCACTTAAAGAAACTGGTCCAGTTGATACAATTTAACTTTTTTTGTCATCTACCTGGATAAATGAGCTTACAACCCCTTTTACATGTATCATTGTCTAATGATCGCCAAAATGTACAAAACCCAAACAACATTTTTAAATACTGCCAGGTGTGATGGTCCATGTCCCTAATGTCAGTTTCAAGAACTGAGGAGCAGACCACCAAGGTCTTTGGTTTTGACTGTTACCCTGTACAGCACGTCCTGCAGGTGATGGGTCCACTGTGGTGAGCTGCTAGCGTCCTTCGTCCAGGCAAAAGACACGGTCTCTTAGTCTAGTAGTCATCATAATGATTGTTGAATCAAAATTTGTCTGGCCCTTTAACCCCTCCAGGGACAGACTGTCTTCTATAACAGCTTGATTAACAGAGGATCAGTACGGTTTATTTAAGAACGTGTGTATATAAAAACGTAAATGACCACACTCTACCTCTCAGGTGAACATTTGCTTTTTTTTAACTTTTATTTTTGAACTAGCTGACATTTTTATCCAAAGCAACATTAAGCGTGAAATCTAAAATTAAATGGCACAACAGGTGACGTAGAGCAGCTTAGACATGTCAGAGGTCTTAAAAAAGGGAGTGTTGTAATTAAGCGTGACGTCTCTGCTCTCATAGCATTTGGTAACTTGTTCCTCTGCCATGAAACAACAAATGAGAACAATGTAGAAAAAAAAGGCTGCTTTATGAGTGAAGATGTCAGAAAGTGACATTGTTCTTAGAGGAACACAGCAAAGAAGAAGCTCAAGTCTGCATGACAGAGTTTGATTGCTTTGCTTCTGATTCTATAGTCGCTCTGAAGACAAGTATTAAACTTGAATTTTTTGAAACCTTGGATAATTGTTAAACATTAAAAATAATAATAATAGTGTAACACATGTCCCTTTTGCTACAAATATTAAGAATATGCTGGAACATAAAACATGCTGAACATTTTGGCCCACTTTTTAAAATCACAGTTTAGATGAAAACCCCCTGACCTGTATGTATGGTTTCATTTTATACCATTAACAGGAAAAACAAACATTTATTTAGGTTACAAGGCCAGCACAAAAAACTTAGCAAAAATCTTTACAAAGGTCAACGGGCAAATTTAAAATTCTTTAATTGCTTTTCAAGAATATTAAAAAAAAAAGAAGAGCTGGCTTAAAAATTCAGATATCCGTTTAAATTTTATATTGAGGTAGCACTCAACTGCAGCACGGTGGTGCAACTGATAGAGCAGCTGCCTCTCAGTGAGCAGGTCCCTGGTTCAAAACCCCGGTCCAGGGGCCTTTCTGGGTGGAGTTTGCATGTTCTCTCCGTGCATGCGTGAGTTTTCTCTGGGTACTCCGGTTTTTTCCCACAGACCAAAAACATGCATGTTAGACTGATTGGTAACTCTAAATTGTCCCTAGGTGTGAGTGAGAGCGTGAATGGTTGTTTATCTCTATGTGGCCCTGTGATGGACTTGTGACCCGTCCAGGGTGTACCCCGCCCCTCGCACAGTGATTGCTGGGCATGGGCACTGGCGACCCCCGTGACCCAAAATGGAATAAACGGGTAAAGATAATGGATGGATGGATGGATGGGTAGCACTCAACTCTCGAGATGATTTAAACTTCACTCAATCTCTGTGGCTGGATTCACAGGACAAGTATCAAGCTGTGAAAAGTTGAAAAGAAAATAAATAATAATAAATACATGTATGAGGTGGAAAAATAGACCAAGTTGTTGACAATCGCTGAACAGATGTTGCACTTACATTTAAACTTTAATGTTATAAACTGCAGATTCTCCTGTGAAATAAATCTCCTGGACTCCTTCAGCAGCAAAGTCATCATGCATATTCGATCACTCCTCATCGGTGAGGCAACTGAATTGATTATACAAATTCCTTTTAATTAAGGTAAGTTTGAATACATTAACAAAATAATAAATGCCTTTCTCGTATCATCAGGGGGACGCGAGAAACAGTTTTTTTTTTTCTCACAGGCCTTTACACTGAGCAGCGCTGTACAGCTGTCAATTTCCTTAAATAATAATATTTCAACTCCCTTGACATTTAGTGTAAAAATAAACACATTTATAGAAATTGAGAGGCAAAGCCCAGCTGTTTTTGGCAGGATATCTCCAAAATGCACAGTGTAGTTGGAAGTGCAGAGCTTGGCATTTCAGTCTTGCAATGATGGATTCAAGTAGGTGTTTTTTGGAAGAATGCTCTCCCACTTGGCATGCTTCATGATGAGTGTGGAATTATCCTCCTCCTGCCAGTTGTTAGAAATGTGATTTCATAAGTCAACTAAGATGAGCGCACCAAGGTCAAGAGCAATCCTCGAACTGACAGATGCCTGACATTAGTTCAAACTCAGAGGATTCTCTCTCCAACTGCGTGCGCATGAGCATTGTTTTGGTTGTTTTGTTTGTGGACTTGCATGCTTTGACTGCTAAGTCTGGGAGGCAAACAAAGCAGACACAGGACAAGTTGATCAATGATCTCCCAGAGTTCATGGAGAGGGCACACAGGGGTTTACCAAGGCTGGCTTAACCACCAAAGGAACAGAAACCTTCATTACCTACTCCTGCCGAGCCCACTGATGAGACACCAAACCGGGGTCAATCAAACCACCAACGAAAGATTGATCATCAGAACATCAAAGTCACTCGTGTAAATCCAGCCTTTTTTCCACATATCTGGGGTATTGATACGAACTGCTCCCGGAGGAGAGTTGCTAGTTAGAAACCAATATACCTCATGAGGGAGGGGTACTCTGACCCACCCCTCCACAAAGACCTGCAAAGTCTGAAAAGTATGAATGAGTTGAAAAGTTTACCCCGCACCAACCCTCTGCAGACCTGCCAGGTGAGGCTCTTAAGCAGCTTTTAGAAGTTCAGAATGGGTTCACCGTCCCAAAGTTACACTGAAGGACATTCAAAACAAAGCTGCTATCACTTCAGATGCACCAACTGAGAACCTGCAAAGCTCAGTGTTTCCAGTTGAGGTGAGAGTGGTCAATGGAAATATGATAAACAATTACACAAACAGCAAGTTCCCCTCACTCTGTACGATAGGCCCTGCAGCCCCTCCCGTCCTGTCGCACTGTAGAGTATTTTGGTTCAAGTTCCACTGCAGCATCCGGCTGAGCTGCGGTCTCGGTTTCACCTCCCACTTCCTTTTTTTGGTCCTGACGTGTTTCCGGCCCTGAATTAGAATCAACTCTTTCCACACAGAGTTGTGATATCGGGCCGTCTTCCTTCTCTTGTCGGCGGTGTTCGGAAACTATTAAGAAATCCCCAGCGAAGTCAAAATCTATCTCCCGAGTCCTTTGTTCCAGATCACGTGACAGAGATATGAGGCGACATCAAAACCGATCAGCTGCTGCAACACAAAGAGGAACTTTCTCTCTCTAACTCAGCGATAAGATAGACGCATTGAGGGTTGAACTTGTGCAAGCTTTGAAGAATTTCTGCTGTTTATTGCATGGAAACAATACAAGCAGGGAAATTTGATGTACCATCACAGTGAGAGATTCTTCTTCATCTGTCTGAGGCATCTGCACGGGCATCCTTCAGTCTTTGAAATTCTGGGTGAGAAACTGCACAGCGGCTACAGGCTCTCCTAAACCAAACCTCGTCATGAAGGCCTGCAGATCCCATTTACCTGATGGAGCAGGAGGACACAAAACAGAGATTTATTAGTATTTACAAATATTTTGAAGGAAGAAATTTCAGGTTTGTGTTCAGTCTACGACATAAAACGGCATATTCTGAGTGCACTCTGTGGTGCATTACGAGAGCATTTCTTTTGACCGCTCGATCTGTGTTTAAAGGATCTGAGGCCTAACTGAGCAGCACATGGCTCCGGGATGTGAGTCACTGAGAACAGCTCTGCTGAAAATAAAACATGTTGCTGTAATGATGGAGGTGGGAACGCAAGGACGTATTGGCAAGAAGAAATGATTCAATCGCCTGGACTGTTTTTTTTTTTCTTCCCTCCCCTTTTAAACAAACACCAGACGGCCATCCGGCTGGTATGACAATATCACTTCTTAGATTTTGACAATCACTGATTCCCTGCAGTTTCCCCTCTCTTTACAAAAAAAGAAGACGACAAATTCACAACTATCCTTCCAAGGAAAGAAAACCCTGTGTGCTTTAAACTTGCAAGCTTTAACAGATTCTACAAAAGAAAGACCGACTGTCTGCACCTTCATATGTTTGTGTTTTCATAAGACGTTGACTTTGCTCTGAAATCCAGGGAATCTGTGACACTCTGGTATTTTCATGTGCAGAGTAATTACATTAACGGCTGTGCAAGAATAGTTTCAGAAAGTGAGTTTTTTTTTGAAACACAAGAAAGCCAGCTAAACAGTTCAGATCTGTGAAGGGGGCAGTTCACAGTTAGGGGTCAAATCTGAATACGTCTAGTCAAATCAATGCTCCTGAACTCTTTCTGTGTCTGTTTTTGCCATCAGAGGAACCATGTTAGATCCAGAAGAAATTATATATATATATATATAT